AAGATCTTACTTTTGTGATACATATTATAGATCACTTCTCGAATGGCACTTGTATCCAATGTCGCTGTGTTGGTTACACGTTTAATATAACTCCGCTTTTTCTTGGGCGATTCTAAATTTACATCACTTTTCACACCCTCGGAAATACGACTAACTGTCCTTAAACTAATTTTTAAAGCAGCAGCAACACGCTACAAAAAATGAAATAAAATTTCACTATTATTAATATACATTACATATAATTATTAGTAACCTACCTCTTGAACAGCATTTAAAGGCAACAAAGGCCCGTTGTTGTCCCTTTCTTGCTCAAAGTAGTGCATTAACGAGGCCACGAGTTCCTTACACCGACTATTTAACTGTTTGGGCATCTTTATATACCAAAATTGCCTTTATCTACTCGTAAAATGAATAATTTTGTTTTGAAACAAACAGTTGTTGATTTACAGTATGCGGGGCCAAAGGATTTATAAAGATTTGAAATGCCACAAATTGATTCAGTGTCAAAATTAATACAAATGTCAGTTCCCAGTTTAAATAAGTTTCAAGGTGACAATGTGTCAACGCTGCGAAATCGGTTTAGTGCGTTTACATGTCGATAAGTGATTGGAGCGTTTGCAAAACATTTTATTTCGCATAATGCGTCTAAATTTATCAGAAAGCAACTTATGTGATATTTTAATAACAATGTTTATATGACTATTAACCATAATAAGAGAGTAATGACCATTTTACAATTTATATATCACATTAATATGAAACTGCAATAGAGCAATTGTTTGTGATAGAAACCTAGGCAGTAGGTCGGGGAATTTTTATCGTGATGACGTGCACGCCACTTTGTTTGGCGTTGACTATAAATCACTTGTCGCTTGAGATCTGACAGGTAGGTTAATTTGCGTTAATGACCGATAACGGCCTTACCTTGCCTCAAAATAATGACGATGCTGACTGACATCGCGGTATCAAGTCAGTCAAATGGCGTCGTCATTGAACTAATATTTACTATTATACAGGGTGATTCATAAGTCGTGACCAAAAATGAAATATCATACACAGGACTGCATTTTAAGATACGATTGCCTATCGAGATGTTGGTTTGCCCTATCGCGAAATTGACCGCCGTGTTAATTTTACTGCAACGACGGTAATGCGTGTGTGTGTCGTGTGTGGATAAAAGAAGGTAGAGAAACACAAAGAAGGGCAACTGGCTTACCGAGGCGTACCACAGAGCATCAAGATAGGCGCGTTCTGCTACTACGCGTCAAATCGCTGACCAATGGTTTGGATAAGGTAGACCTGTTAATATGCATCCACTGTATCGCCGTATTCCAGCCTTTGGACTTTTTTCATACCGTCCACGTTTAGTGCTTCCTCTGACTGCGGACCACTGTCGTCAACATTTGAACTGAAGCAGAGAATGGCAACATTGGGAGGCAGAATGACATAATGTCATCTTCAGCGACGAATCGAGATTCGTCGTAGAAGGGTAAGCCGCCGCCGTGTAGAATGGCGTGATATTGGATTTGCTGGAGGCATGTGCACAGGACTGTTGGAGTAATGGTTTGGGGGGCTATTGCAATATGAGTGCTGCGCGTTATGTTGATGACGTCCTAAAAACCGTCCTTTTTCAGCAAGACAACGCACGTCTCTATACGTATATAGCTCGTCGTACCACGGACATCCTTCAAGAAACAGACGTTAATGTTATGCCGTGGCCACCCCGTTCACCGGATTTAAATCCCATCGAACATGTGTGGGATATGATGGGGAGGAGGCTATGCACTTTGAACCATCCGCCACAGACTCTGCCACAGCTAATCCAAGAAGTTCGAGTTGCTTGGGATGAGGTACCAGACATCGATGCTTAGGCATATATACAGGAGTGTATTCAGCTGCGGGGTCGCCCAACACATTATTAATTTTTTTATTACTTGTCAATAAAATCTTGTGAGAATGTAATCTTTTCATTCTTGATGTAAGGCTACCTGATTGCCAAAAAATCAAGTTGAAGGAATTATTTTTTTGGGTGCAATACTCCTAATGAGTATATTTGTAACAACATATTGTGCTAAGCCGGAAGAATAATTCTTTCTGTAAGCGATCGAAAATGTACAGGGTGTCCCGCTATAAATTGACCTCTAACTTCATTGTTTGACCGTTTATATGAGAAAGCTTGACCCTCACTATTTTTTTAATATTTATAATCATCATGCAATGGATCCATACTATTATAATGATTCCAAAAGTAGATTAACATATCATCGCATTTACTATCATTGCTTTGCAGATTTTTCATGCGTATAGAGTAATCAGTACAAATGGTAAATTGTCTGATCTTTAGCGGTTTTATTCCAATAACTTAAAGATCACTTAGTATTATAAAATTTAATATACAGGGTGTTTCACAACTTATCCGACAAATTTTAACCGCATATGCACTGTTACGATAGAAGCTGATTTCTCAAAAAAATGTAATAAAAGTCCTACAGAAATTAAGTCATAAACCTGAGCTTCAATAATGGGTTGAAAAATAAATATCTGTATTTTGCGTTCATCGTCATGAAATTAGCAAATGTTGTACCAAACAACTGACGAAAACATAATACCAGGATTTATTTTGTTTTTTTTTGCACTGATAAGAACGTGTAAATAATGTTTAATCTGTATCGTGGGTGATCTGAATGACGGTCGATTTTTTTGAAGTTAAATAAGAAAGTATTTTGCCAGTTTATGTTTTTAGTTATTTATGAATGAAAATTGCACATGTGTACACTAGTGACGAGTTAGTGGACATTGTATTAGCGTAGGAGGAGCAGGGCAAAATTCCAAGTATGCTAAGTGACATATAAATCCGAACACCCAGTTTAAATGGTTTTATTTTAATAAAAGTTGGTGAATGTATTTATGTTACTGTAAATAACAAGTGAAAAAATGTTCAGCCTTATCAGTTGGACATTCCGGTTTTTATACTGCTTTTTTTTAATTCACTAACGCTCTAAAAATGAATATTTCAGCCGCAGTAAAGAATCAACGTTGGCGGATTTTGGTTCTTGGCATCCTTTACGATCGGCTACGATGCCTAGAGTACGGAGACCTGTACGATTTCGTTAACTTAGTGAGTTTGATAGGGGCCGTATAGTGGGACTTCGGGAAGCTGGACTTTCTTTTCGGGCAATTGCAGTTAGAGTGCAAAGAAGTGTAGACACTGTGGTTAGGTGTTGTCAGGCATGGCTTTGAGAAGGCCGTACGCAAAGAGCAAGAGGCACTGGACGCCGCCGTAGAACAACAGACCGTGAAGATCGCCGCCTAAGATTATTGGCCTTAAGGGACCGTTTCTCCACTACCAGGTTCATTGCAAATGAATGGTTTGCAGAACACAGAAGACCTATTGGCATGCGAAGTGTTTACCAATGAATGAGAAGTTTTGGCTTGTTTTCATACCGGCCACACTGGGTCCTCCCTTTAACTCTAGAACATCGACGTAATCGCCTTGAGTGGTGCAGACAACGGTCACTCTGGGATCAGGAATGGAACAGTATTGTCTTTAGTGACGAGTCTCGATTTTGTTTAGGCATGCACGATGGTCGTGCCAGGGTTAGAAGGCGACGTGGTGAAAGGAGGAATCCACAGTTTTTTGTTGAAAGACATGTTCATCACACTGTTGGAGTTATGGTTTGGGGCGCTATAGCTTATGGTTTCAGGTCACCTTTAATCTTCATCAGAGGTAATATGAACGCGCAGCGTTATATCCACGAAGTTCTAGAACCCCATCTTTTACCCTATCTTGACACCCTGGCAGATCCAACTTTCCAACAAGATAATGCCCGACCACATGTTCCAAGAGTCACAATAATGATGTCACATTGTTATCATGGCCACCAAGATCTCCCGACTTATCCCCAATTGAGCACGTTTGGGATATGATGGGTAGGAGATTGCTCAATTTGCAACGTCCTCCTCAGACTCTAGAAGCACTTCGAGAGGAGTTGGTGGTTGCCTGGAATGAGATACCACAGGAGGACATTGACCACCTCATCAGAAGCATGCCTAGGCGCGTTGGAGAATGCGTAGCACATCAGGGTGCATCCACACATTATTAAAGGTCAAAGGGCTTTAAAGCAGTGCAATCATTTTGAAATTTTTATCGTTTACTTATTATGCTTCATTAAGTACTTATACAAAATTTTATTAAAATGAAACCATTTATACTCGGATTTATATGTCACTTAGTATATTTGGAATTTGTTCGGAATGATTTGCGGGTCCTTCTTGAAGATGTCCCATTTGCGGTCCAAGCACGGATGTGGTTTCTGCACGATGGGGCACCTCCGCATTTTCGTTTAGAAGTTTGTGATTTTTTTAATCGGAAGGGGTAGGACCAATTGCATGGCCTCCAAGGTCTCCCGATTTAAATCCTCTGGACTTATTTTTAAGGGGATACTTGAAAAACAAGGTATACCGCACTCCAGTTCAGAATATTGAAGAATTGCGTGACCGAATCACAGTGGCTGCTGATAATTTGAGCCTTCAGGCACAGGAGGAAGGAGGTGTATTTGAATTAGTGCGTCGAAATTAGATTAGACGCGCACAAGCAGTCATTGGAAACAATTTTGAACAGCTTTTTTAAGTAAGTGAATCGTTCTTTCCTAACAGTACATAAAATATGTGGTTAAAATTTGTTGCATAAGTTGTGAAACACCCTGTATATGTATATGTGTTTTAATAATAAAGTAAGGAGCCATCGTTCTTTCTCTTCGCGTTAAAATGACTTGATGATTTCTAACCATATCTTTCCCGAATAAAATAGGCACGCCTTTTTTTCCTGGCACAATCCATGTTCTCGTCCAACAAGCCTTTTCGAACGATTCCAGTAAATAATGTCTCCTTACTAGTACCACCAACAATTTTACTAAATTTCCTAGACTAAACGATGATTTCATATCCAAAATCCATTTCGCTTTAAAATGGTTTGTCATCAATAAAAATCCATCGATCGTATTTGATATCGTATCACTGATGAAACAACAACTTTTTGGAATTACTATATAAGTCTCATCTTTTGATATATAACCGTAGTATTGAGAAAGCTTTTGGCAGGTCAAGTCTCCTGAACATGACGCGAATACTTTTTATCGTTGTTGGACTGATGACTATTTCATATTCAGGTGAGATAAGGAGACTTTGTATACAACTCGTAGATTTCGGCGAAAGTAATTTTTTTTGATGGTAACGCTAGATTATTACTTCCTAATAATAAGTTCAAATTGACGTCATGATACCGCTGAAGCATTAGCCGCCATTTTGATGGGCGAGCAGCGTTGCCAATACTTGAGCTGCAAAATTTCCGTGCGGGGTTACAAAAAGTTCCGAAAGTTCTGATTTTTCAGGCACAAATGACGAAAAATAAATTTAGGGATAACTTCTCGTTGATTTTTGAGATAACAATTTCTTTTTTTAATTTTTCAATTTGCCTCTTATTTTTTCTGAACTGTCCCCCTTTGCTGTGACATCTTTTGTCGATAACCCCTGTTCTTCAACCCGCTTTTTTTAACAAAAACCTAGCATATTTCATAGAAAAGAATGAAACATTTAAACTGATTTACAGTTCACCTTTTGCCGCTAGCATAATTAGACAAAGAAGAAAATCTGGGTGCGCCATCTATTACTTTTTTTACCTATAAGTTTGTGTTCCCATGAGAGTCAAAAGTCATGTGGTATGCATAAATGAACTGTCAAAGGTATGCCATTTATAGTCACGGGTTCGTTTACAACACAACAAAGCATTTTATATAAAAAATACTTTTCGCAAACTTCGCACTAGTTTTGGCCGACAAGGACACCCTACAGAGCCTGGAACTCGCTGGATTGTTAATCGTTTTGAGGAAACTGGTTCAGTTGAAGGTCGTAGACCATACCAACATGCTCGTCCAGCTCGTACTCGTGAAAACATAGCCGCAGTGAATGAAAGTGTGCGAGAAGATCTAACCACTTCGACTAGGCACCGTTCGCAACAATTGGGAATTAGTGAGACCACTTTACGCCGGATTTTACACATTGATTTACATCTCCATTCATACAAAATCCAACTAACACGAGAATTGAAGCCGGCAGAACATCAACAGCGGCGTGTTTTTGTCAATTAGATGCTGGAAAGAGAAGACGGATTTTCGGCCAAAGTGCTCTTTTCTAATTAGGCTCATTTTTACCTCAATAGGTACGTAAATAAGCAAATTGCAGTTTCTGGGGGATGAAAATCCACACCAATATCATGAACAACCTCTCCATCGTGAAAAAGTGACTGGTGCGGATTATGGGCTGGTGGCATCGTTGGACCATTCTTCTTTGAAGATGCTGAAGAAAAGGACATTACTGCCAACGGGGAACGTTAACAGACTTTTTGTGGCCACAATTCTGTCGTATTGGTGCCGACGATCTTTAGTTCCATCAAGACGGACCAATTCCTCACACATCTCGCCAAACAATCGCCTTATTGCACACGAAATTTCAAGACCGCATAATTTCACGAAATTCAGATGTCAGTTGGCCCCCGAGATGGTGCAATTTAACACCTCTTGACTATTTTCTTTGGGGATTTTGAAAAAAAAGTGTATGCGAATGGTCCCCGGACAATTCAAGACCTAAAGCGCAATATGCGGACTGAAATTGCGGCCATAGACCCGATTATTCTGGGAAAAGTTATTGAAAATTTTGATGTTCGGATGTTGGCCTGTAAACGAAGCCGCGGTGGTCACATGACTGATGTTATTTTTCATGCATAAATGGCATAAACTAACCTTCATTTATCAATAAAAAAAATTCGATTTCACCTCATAAAATACGTGTTGATTTTTCAAATAGAAGAAAAAGTAATAAATGACGCACCCTAGATGTTGGGTTGCGACTGGGGAATAGGTGTTTTTTTTTAATTATGTAACAAAATCAAAAAGACAATGTTGTTGATTTTAATAAATTATAGTTACAGTACTCACTGCACTTACAAAGAGACTGAGGCCCGTATCGTCAATCGACCCTATAATTGTAGGGCGCGTTTATGGCCTCCTTGATTGTCATACACCTTTCTCTCCTTCAAAAATTTCTAGATTACACTTGTCCCGTGTCAGCATCAGCGCTCTTCTATTGTGAAGATTTGTTTTCCTTTTAAATTGTAGGAAATTTCAGGCTGATAAAACATGATATAACTCAAAAGCAAGCACAATTTGATGCAAATAGATGTTTGTGACATAAGCTCAAAATAGAGCTCTGACACGGAGAAGCAGAAAACTATGACAATCAAGGAGGCCATAAAGGCACCCTACAATATGTAGGGACGACTGACGATACGGGCCTAAAAGTAGTACCTACTACTCTGTATAGGTATACGCATATTTTGATAATAATAAGAAACACTTATTCGTCAAAATTAATATTCAAATTAGGAACATCTAACGAAATACCAAACTACTTGCAGTAAGACCGAACAATCGGGCATAAATTAATTTAAATAATAGAGAACATAATCTTCAATAATAAATTAATCAGGTACTAAGTAATCTGAATAATAGAGAATATTAATTTAATATAATGTAAATTTAATAATAAAAACCTGATAACTAAAACACAAGAAGCTAAGTACAAAAGGTACTATAAAAGTTTTGCAATACCGGTTCAATTATTGACTTCGTTCAAAGTAGTTTCCACCACATTCATTACAGTTCTTCTGCCACGTCTCACCAAGAAGTGCGGCTCACTCGTTGTTCGAAGCCCTCAGAAGGTCCTCATCGCTAGAAAACCGTTCCTTTTAGCTTCATTTTCACATGCGGAAACAGTGCCAAGTCACAGCGAGCAAGATCTGGACTGTAAGGAGACTGCTCTATAAGTTTAAGTCCAGAAGTGGTCAAATACCTACTCGGTGCAGGCTTTGGCACGGTGAGCTGGAGCGTGGTCATGGTGGAGGTATCAAGTGTCGATTATTGACTTTGGCCACAGGTTTTTCATATACTCTATGACTTTAGGCAGACACTGTTCCGTGTACCACTTAGCTGACACCGTCTTCTCTGTATCCAAAATGACACGCTCCACAATCCGCTTAATTTTAAAAATACAGCAGCCCTGATCGGCACATCATCGTACATCGGCACTTTACACTATCAATACGAACGAACAACTAAATCAACGGACCTGCTGCAGGCGGCTACTAAGCGCTCAAGAACATATCTCAACATGCAGTAACATGCAGCGTCGGTTTGTTAGGTCATGTTGCAAAACTTTTATAGTATCGTTTTTCTTTTCCATGTTCGAAATTGAAACTTGAACGATGCAAAAATCACAAATAGAAAAACCTTACGTAAACAATAGACAGGAAAATAGAAGAGAACTACCGGCTTCGTGGTTCAGGCAAACAACTACCAGTATTTTAAAAATCCGCCGACAAGTGTCGGTAAATTTTTGCAAGAACAGAGCTGACCAGAATGTTGATCATCTCAGTCGTTTAATCCTACACAAAGGGAGACAGGAAGAATTCTGAGGTGCTGTTTTGTTTTAGTTTCCAGTCGAAGGTGCTTCCTGTCTGGGCATCTTTATGGTTTTTCCAGTACTTCTTTCGATAAAGTTTTATAAAAATTCCATTTTTCCAAAAAATTCCTCCAAAATCTGAGTTCCGAGAAACTTCCTCCAAGATCCAAAAAGTTCCGCAAATCGGAACTTATTCCGCCGTTTGGCAACACTGTGAGCGCGTTTGATCGAAAATCTGAAAACCCATGTAAAAAAGTAATAGAAACAATTTTCTAGGGAATCATAATACCCTACGTTAAAGGGGTCCGCGCGTAGACATAACGCTTCAGTGAAAATTAAATAATGTTATAAAATAAACTAAATGCAAAATACTCTTGACAGACTTATAGGGGAAGGTTTTAACTCTAATTTACTTGACCCTCTCACGGATAATAACACTGATCAACAGCCAAAAAATATCCTAAATAAAATCAACAAAATATTACTATTTTTAATAAAACCGGAATGAAACTCATTTTTTCAATATTAGTTCAAGTTTTAGAGATACGGTAATTATATGTGTTCCTGCTGTGACAGTGTTAATATACTTTAATTCACAAGAATGCACGTGCTACATTTTTATATTCGGCAAGGAAAGATGATGTAATCGGCATGATTGTGTTACGTTATATACATACGTGTACATTATATTGTTTTATATTAGCCATTTTTTCCTCAGTTGGCTGACAGCGTTCATGCAAGATGTCTCGAAAGTGTGTAAACAATCCAGATCAGTTTTGTTACGTGTGTGGTGATGTGACTTTTGCGTCTCAGAGACGGTCTATTACTCCACTAATAACAAAGGCATATCAGCTTTATTTCGGTTGTAAGCTAGGTGATCAAGACAAACAGTGGGCACCCCACATCTGCTGTAATACATGTGCTTCAAGTCTGAGGAGCTGGTTAAATGGCAAAAAACGGTCTATGAGCTTTGCTGTCCCAATGGTTTGGAGAGAGCCTACAAATCATATTAATGATTGTTACTTTTGCATGGTACCTTGTGTTGGACAAGCCACAGGTATGTCCAAGAAAAAAAAATCGGTTATTAACTACCCAAACATACCATCTGCGATGAGACCTGTGCCTCACAGTGACGAAAATCCTATTCCAACCCCCCAGAATCCTACACTTGCGAATCAGAAAACGAATCAGATCATGGCGATCGAGTGATTCGTCAGGAAGAAGATATGCCATCAACGTCAAGAGATCCTGATTTTATACCGAGCACGTCATGCCACCAACCGCACAAAATAATACAGTCAGAATTAAATGATCTTGTAAGAGACTTAGAACTTCCAAAATGTAAGGCAGAGTTACTTGGATCAAGACTGCAGCAGTGGAACTTGTTAGAAGACGATGTTTCGGTATGTGTTTTTCGTAAACGCCACAAAGACTTCAATATGGAGAATAACTTGGTTTTCTGCAGTAACATTAACGGCTTACTGGCGGCTTTAAATATAAACTATAACCCAGAAGAATGGAGATTGTTTATAGTCAGTTCAACATTGAGTTTAAAGGCAGTGTTATTGCATATTAGAAATATTTTACCATCTCTTCCTGTAGGGTATGCAGTTCACATGAAAGAATCATATGACAATATGAAGTACCTATTGACATGCATAAAATACGATGAGCACCAATGGCATATTTGTGGCGATTTGAAAGTTGTTGCACTTTTACTTGGGCTACACAAAGTTTTGCTGTTTTTTGTGTGAATGGGACAGTCGGGCAAAGGCACAAAACTGGCCTGTTCGTCAATTCCTAGAGCCAGGTCAAAAAAATGTACAACATATGCCATTAGTAGATTCGAAAAAAATTTTATTACCACCACTGCATATCAAGTTGGGCCTAATGAAAAACTTTGTCAAGGCATTAGATAGAGATGGGTCAGCTTTTCAATACCTGTGTCAGAAATTTCCAAGACTAAGTGAGGCAAAGGTTAAAGAAGGTATTTTTGTTGGGCCACAGATTCGAAATATTTTGAAAGATACACAACTTGAAAACACTTTAATAGGTATTGAAAAAACTGCTTGGAATGATTTCCGTCTGGTGGTCACTAATTTCTTGGGAAATAGAAAAGCTGACAACTATGAAACCCTTGTCAAAAATATGCTGTCATCGTATCAAAAGATGGGCTGTAATATGTCTCTTAAGATACATTTCCTACACTCACACCTGGACTGTTTTCCTGACAATTGCGGAGCCGTAAGTGATGAGCACGGCGAACGTTTTCATCAGGATATTTGAAGGGCTTGGGGCAGTAAGGGACCTAAGCCACATTTTGATGAAAAATTAGATTTCCATACGAGCGAACTCGTTGAGTAGGTATCTATGTCTGAAGTTGATTTGTTTGATGATCCGCTGGTAGATGTCGCTATAATCCATGAAGAGCGTTTTTGACAGATTGGTTTAGTCTACAAACTTTTACGCCGAAAAGGACATAAGCCACATACATTTCAAGATGGACGCCAAGCGGAAATTGTTCGCGGGTGAAAATAATGGATGTTTTAGTGATTCGGAGAGCGAAGATGGTTCTGAATTTGGATCAGATGATAGTGTAAAGGACAGAGACTATAATCCGACTAGCAGCAGTTCTGACAGTGACTCCGAACGAGAAACTCAGGTGAATAAATAAACTTGTGGCTTGTGACCTTAATGCCGTTATAGATGTGGCTTATGCTTTTTTCACATAGGAGTGCAATTTTTTAATATTACTTCTGCAGTATTACTAGATTATGATTTCAGACTAATCATTCCTCAGAGTATATCGTAATCCTAATTTACAGAGGCCATTTTTAACAGCAAATAACTCCTGAACACATGATAAAAATATGTAATTTTGTGCAAGTGGCTTATGCCCTTCTTCGCCAACTAAATTGATGTCTGTGTCTTGTGACGTTTTTCAGTATCCGGGAATAGCGATAACTTTTGCAAAATAGAACTGAGATTTACTGTCACAAATAATTTTAGTTATTATTATGATAATCAACTGAAATAGGCATTCGTCAAATGATGTTTTTTTGTAACAATAAAATGGCTTTTAGGTTGCTGTAAGCAGAGGCAAGATGTTTACTCCAGAAAAACCAAATAAATCGAGATGGAGAAAACGTAATATTGAAGGCAGAGCAAGAGTGAAATCGAAAACACGCAGAAATCTTGGCCACAGTTACATAGATTTCAAAGGTCGACAACGAGAGTCTAAAGTATTAGGTCCACCATGTCAGTGCAAAAAGAACTGCAGACAACTGCTCCAAGAAACTGCTTCTACTATATTCCATGCATTTTGGGACTTGAACTCGTATGACGAACAGAATACATATCTATTTTCTACTGTGAAGGTTATACCTAAAAAGAGAAGCTACAAAAAAAACTAAACGCGCGGAATCGGCTCGACGAGTAACAAACCAATATTTTGTCAAAGTAAATGGAGTTTACATTCAAATATGTAAGACTGAATTTTTATCGGTCCATGGACTTCAAAACTCCAGTAAGCGATTAAAACTTATCGCTCAGCAAATTGTTGAAGGCAGGACAAACAAAATTTCTGCAGAAAGAGTTCAGTCTGTTCATGACCATATTAAAGCCATTCCGAAATATGTGAGCCATTACAGTCGGAAAGTTAATCCAAATAGAGTTTTTCTAAACCACGACCTCAACATATCTACTCTCTACAAGGACTATTATGTTGAGTGGTGCAAAGAACGTGGAATAGCACCAGTAAAAGAAGATCGGTATAGACGAATATTCTGTTCTGATTACAATATAGGATTTAAGTTGCCCAAGAGTGATACTTGTCATACATGCGACTTCCTTAATAATCAAATGGAAGCAAATAAAGAAAACCTGGAGGAATTCAATGAATTTAAAACACAACTGCAGCTTCATCAGACGAGAGCACTTGCCATGCAGGATAGCTTGAAAAAAGAGGTATCAGACAATGCGAAAAATTCCACGTGTATAATATGTATCATTTGATTTACAGCAGACTCTTCCCACGCCTTCGCTAATTGTGGGTCCTGCCTTCTATTTACGAAAGGCTTGGACGTACAACCTCGGCATACACGATTGTGTCACTGGCAAAGGTAGCATGTTTTTGTGGGCAGAAACTACTGCAAAAAGGGGAAGTGAAGAGATTGCAAGCATCCTGCTGAAATACTTACAAGGTATATCTTCCACTAAAGAGCACTTGGTAGTTTTCACTGATAACTGTGGAGGCCAGAACAAAAACTGGGTAATCATGTCTTTGTGGTTGCAACTTGTTCGCGAAGGATTCTTCAAGTCCATAGAGCACCGTTTCCTTATTCCTGGCCACACTCACTTGCCTTCAGATAGAGACTTTGCCATCATTGAGAAGCATAAGAGGTACATCAAGCAGGTATACTGTCCAGAAGACTGGGTGGATATCGTTAAGAAATCCAACAGAAAAAGCCCATTTGACACAGTCTTATTGGAACAACATGACTTTTATGCATTTGATTCCATCTCTATTACGAAAAAACAATCTACCGTAGATAAGGAGGCCGTCAAATTTAATGAAGTGCGCTGTTTCAAGTTTGACAGTGAACATCCCAATTCTATGTTCATAAAACATACCCTTAACGGAGAATTTCTTGAGGTAAATGTGGGTAAAAGAGGATCTCGGCTGGGAAGTCTACGAACCCTGACAGATTTGAGAAGAAAATACAATGGACCTCTAGCACTGAATGACAAGAAGATCAAAGATCTGAAAAAGCTTCTAAAATATATCCCGCCGATTAGTCAGCAGTTTTTTGTTGATATTGTAGGAAATACAATTGAAGCAGAGCCAGGCAGTGAACAGCCGAAGGAAGGAGAAGAAGAGGCTGAAGATATAGATGGCGATGATGAAGAAGTGAATTTGGACTAAATAAGTGATTCAAGCTATCATCAGAATGCATTATTTTTTTTGTAATAAGGCACCAAGCCACAAAATTTTCAAAAATAAATTTTTTCTACGGAAATGTGTCACAATTTTTCGAATTAGTCGCCACCAAATCCTAGTTACCTGAGTTGGAAATGTATTGCATCAGTTCTAGCCGATTGTTGCAAAAAACCTGATTTCAGGATTTACACAAAACTTACAATGCCTTTTTTCTCAAAATAAACCCAATGAGGCTTAGGTCCCTTACTGCCCCAAGCCCTTCATTTCAACAATGCAAAAATGGTACCAGGGAAAGTGGAATCCTTCCATGCTTGCAGACTACTGTTGGACTCTTGGTAGAGATGCTCCAGAAACGTCCATAAAAGAACAGCAAAAAGACAGCGCATATAGTGATTCTTATAAGTATATGAATCTTGTTATTTTTTTAATATATCCTTAAAAATAAAAAGTTTTTTTCTAAACCGCAACTAATTTTTTTATTTCATTGTCATTTTTGGATTCAGCGCCCCAAAATTAACAAAGAAGTGCACTTTTCCCACAAGATACAATTAAAAAACTAAAATTTGTTGTCCAGTGTAATTTTTAACCGAGTCTTTCAACACAAACAGCGTTTTTCAGACCCTAAACCGTTTATATATCAATTTTATAGAAAGGTTACTGGTGACATTTTTCATTCTCCGAAGTATAAAAACTAATTATTTGTAATTTGTTGAAGAAATTGTTCAAACGATGCACCGGGTCACCGCCCGGCTACTTCTTGATTCATACTGAGGAGGCATCCATCGAACGTGATGATTTAAAAAAAATCGGGTTTGTTAAATTTTTGCCACGAACCCAAGGTTTACTTTCTTATAAATATATCTATTTTTCAGATCTTGCAAGTGGTGCCTTACAGTGTTATGAATGCCTTACCTGCACAGATCCATTCAATGCTTCACAAGCAATTAAAAAAACATGTCCCACAGCCATTGAGCAGGTTTGCTACAAGTTCAAAGCTAGTGCGGGTGGTGTTGGTACGTACAATCACTACATATTATAGGCGTTCATTTGAAAAATGCCCTCTACGAATTTATCGAAAACCACTAAAAGAAAAAACGCCGAGACACTTCAAAAGATTTATCAACTTTTTAACCAAGAATTACTTCACCTCCTTTCACCCTTGGCCCCCCAGGGTCATTCCCTTAAAAATTTTAAATGACAAGGGTATCGAGTAATAATTTGTATGAAAGGTTTTTCGAAGTCCTTTATTGTAACGTTTGATTTTTTGAAATCAGTCAATTCGTTTTCGAGAAAATCAGAAAAATATGTACTAATCTTAATTTGTTCAGGTAGAAAACAAAAACACACGAAAATATCACTTTTTATTTCAATAAGTGTACAAAATGTTGCCCGTTAGGGTTTGTCGAACCTACAATTCGTTTATAATTTAAAACGGAAACTGCCCACATAAACAGCAATTCGGAAGATTGGACGTGGCAACCCAAATTTTTTTCGCATTCTTCTCATCAAGAGTAGAAGTGATTATACCAGGTAACCAAATAAGTTCGTGCGGTTACTGTATATCGCACATTGCCATGGATGTTGTTGATCGATAGCGATTGTTTCTTACCTGCTGTCACTTTAGTATGAATCCTTCTTTCTCACACTCATAAAAAGTTGCTGAAAATTGTTACATACCTAGTTTTAATAATTGAAAATGGCGACGAATAAAATAGTAATTACTTTTCTTTAATTTACTGTATGAGTACAAAAAATATGTACCGCATTCGGAGATGATGCCGTTGGCGATCGAACAGCACAGAAGTGGTTCAAAAATGTTTCTTGGGGAGGTCTCCCTTTGAGCGATGAACCGCGCTCAGGGAGACCAAAAATCATGAACAACGGGAATCTTCGACAGGTTGTGGACGCATATTCCAGGAAAACATGCCAAGAACTTGCAGAAATGTTCAGAGTGAATCCTGAAACTATCCGTTTGCATCTTCATAGGAAAGACGTGGAAGGTAAGCAAATGGGTCCCACATGAACTGACAAATGATAACAAATTAAGTCTTCTTACCATTTGTCCAGCAAACATTCCACGCAACGCTAATGAACGATTTCTTAATCGGTTATTAACCTGCGCTGAAAAATGGATCTTGTATTCGAATTCTAAGCGTTCGTATCATTGGTTGTCGCCTACTGATTCGGTACCACACACGCCCAAGGCTTCCTTGCACCCAAACAAGGTTTTGTTGTGTGTTTCATTATTAGTTTTTGGAAAGTGGTCAAACCATCACTGCTACTTGTATTGTGAGCAGCTTCAACGAGTACAAGCAGCACTCATCCAGAAACAGCCTTCTCTTGCCCAGTGATTATCACCTTTTTGTGTCTCTTGACAACTGTATGAGGCACCGACAGTTCACAACTCGAGATGGTGTAATGAATGCAGTCCGCCAATTTTTTTACTCCAAATCCAGGGCATACAAAAATCAGTTCCACGTTGGCAAAAGATCATTGAATGTGATGGTGATTACTTCGACGAATAAATAGTGTCTTATTGTTTCTCAATAAAAATTTATATTTTTCTACTAAAAACTGCACGAACTTATTTGGTTACCTGATAATTTATGGTGCCCGTATCGGTGTGCGCGGCAAACTGCCTTCACGTTTAACGCCAGACATCCAGGGAGATAACTTCGCATAGTTATGTTTCGGACCTTGTTACGAAATTTGCTTGAACTAGATCTGTTGCAAATATAAAACGCGATCATCGGAGAGTTTTCCATGAAGACGCTCAAGTCAAAGTTTTGGGTCATTTGGAATAAATCCTAATACTTCATTACGCAAAATTGTTGTTGCGACTGGTATTCCATTAGGCTCTGTACACACAGTTACTAAACTGAATGACTGCAGCAATCTATGGTAATACCATTCATGAAGAATATCTGCTTCAGTGATGAATGAACATTTTATCTAAATGGATTTGTTACTAAGCATAACTGCAGGTATTGGAGCAATGAAAATCCTCATGCTTTTGTAGAAGGGCATACCCAGTACTCCGAAAAGATTTTTGTATGGGCAGGCATTTTAGGAAACAAAGTGGTTGGGCCATTATTTATTGATGGAAATTTGAATGGCGACATTTATTTGGATATGTTGGAAGATACCATCAATCCTCCCTCAAATCACTAAAACCACTGACAACCAAATCGAAGAGGATGGAACCCCTATATCGGATGGGGCTGAAATATACAGGATATTCCTTAATGATATGCGAATATTTAAGCGTGTGAATCTACATTAAAAGATAATGTTAGTTTGCTTTATAAACTATGGTCCAAAAATGTTTCCTTATAAAAACTCTGGGTGTTGCAGTTTTAGGAAAAAAATGGAAATTAATTAATATTTTCATGCATGTGCCTCATATTGTTTCTTATTACTAACGGAAGCAGCAATGGCAACTGTTGTTGATGAAAGTTGAGATAAGTCTGTCCGTCAAGTCGTCCCGGCAAGAATAATGGGCCAATAAAGTGGTTGCCAATAATTCCTGCCCATACGTTAACCGAAAATAGGTGTTGGAAATGGGTTTCGGTTACGGCATAGGGATTTTCTTCTGCCCACAAATGATTATTGTGGAAATTCTGAATGGCATTTCGAGAAAAATTAGCTTCGTCCGTGAACAGCACCATTGATTCAATTTGCGGATTTTGTGTAATTTTTTGAAGACACCACTGATAAAATGTCACACGCCTCGAAAAATCAATTTGAAGTAATGCCTGTACTCTTAAAATATGGTAAGGATATAACAAAAATCCACTAAAATTCTCCAAACAATTTGATTTCCTCGTACTCGTTTCAGTATGTTTTTCGACTTCCTCCAGCACTGCTTCCTGAATTTCAGGTGTTCTCACACTTAGAGGTCTACCTTCAGATGTTCCTTTTCGGACAGAACCAGTTTCAACAAGACCACGATGAATATTAGAAAAGGTTCGACAATCTGGAAAAGCACGATCGGGATATCTCTGGTGATAAATTCGTCTGGTTTGCTCACCATTACCGTCGGCAAGGCCATATGCGTAATAGATTTCCGCCATTTCTGCATTTGAATAACTCGCCATTATTAACAAGATTGTAAAAACTAAATAATGAAAAAGATGTCACAGCGAACAGATTGGAATAACAAAGACCTGTCAGATGTCAAAAGCCAGTGACATATCCCAGAGTACTGGTAACTAGATATTTATTGCTAAATTGCATTCTTCAATTATTATATTAATTTTCTCGGACAATAGATCGTTTTTTATTTTTTTACTCAAAAATAGCGCATCGAGTGAAAACAATTCTAGAGAGATCATTTGTTTTAAATTGAACGGGGAATTAAAAAATAATTTTTATTTGGCAAAAACCATTGGCGTACCATTTTTTCCTTAAGAAATATCGAAGTCAATACCCGTACGCACGCCATTGTTGAAGCTAAAAATTATTTTTTCATTGAAAAATATGCAACTTTATTAACTTTCACTACGTCCCAAACATCAGTGAAATATCTGAAGCGGTTCTGAAAATATTAATTAAAGCTTCAACACCCCGAGTTCTTGTAAGGAAACATTTTTGAACCGTAGTTTATGAAGGAAACTAACATTCATTTTTCATGTAGATTCCCAGCCATAAATATTCGCATATCATTAAGGAACACCCTGTATTTCCAGCTATACGATGCTCCTCCGGTTCCGCAATGGCTAGCCGACGAGTTTCCGAATAGATAGATAGATAGATACTAGTACATTTATTGTCTTGTAGATAATAAAAAATGACATAAGACTCGTCCTAAGAGGGAGGTACATAGTACACATAATTAAAAATAAAAACGAAACAAACATAAGTATTTACAAAGTACAAACAGGGACAACTTCACATATAAAAAAAGTTTAAAAAAATATATCACAGTGCGAGGTATTCAGACAAAGAGTAGAAACATTTTTCAACTAATAATTTTCGTAGTTTACATTTAAAACTAGCAATACTACTGACATCCCTGAGGTTAGCTGAAAGTTTGTTATATATTCTGATGCAGGTGTATTCCGGTGACTTTTCGAACAGCGTCAGTGTGTGTTTTGGAATACTCAGACTCTCACCTGCCCTTGTATTATAATGTGTGTTGATGTTTTTGTTCTGTATAAATTTTGTTTTGTTTGTATGTATGAAAAGGGCGCACTTATAAATATGAATGCTTGGTAGAGTCATCAATAAATAGATAGGGCGAAGAGGGCCTGCTAGATCTCCTGATTTGACGCCATTAGACTTTTTTCTATGGAGTCATTTGAAATCTATTGTGTTTATTCCCCATTAACTTCGTCAACGCATCATCGAAAACTCGATATCCCACAACACGTTTTTGCAAATGTCCGTCAGGAATTTGAACATCGCCTATATCATTGTTTGGCCAATAACGAGCAACATTTTGAGCACTTGTTGACATAAAAAGTGACATTTTCGTGTGTTTTTGTTTTCAATCTGAACAAATTAAAATAATTATTATAATTTTTTTGAAAACGAATCGACCGATTTTAAGAAATCAAACAAGCTATTACTCGATACCGCTTGTCATTTAAAAGGGGATGACCCTAGGTAGCAGAGAGTGAAAGGGAGTGAAGTAGTTTTTGGTTAAAAAGTTGGCCCCCTTGACAAATTTTCTGACGTCTCTTTTAATCAGTGGTTTTCGATAAATCCGAGGTGGGAAGTTTTCAAATGAACAGCCTGTATAAATAAGTATTCGTAAATTTAAGATATTTAAGTGCTCTTGATAAAGAATACCAGGTTAGAGCTTAACAAAATCCTCCCTGACCCTACTGGTTAGTAGTTAATCAAATTCAGTCGGCTAATTTTGGAAGTACCCGAAAAAAGTGTATTAAAAATGGGAGTCAAGTAGATTAACTTAACATTCAACACGCATTCATTAACTAAAAGTTATGGCACAAAATTCATTGGCTTAAATTTTAACAAACACAAAAAATATCAAGTTGTCTGTGGAAAAAAGTTTGTTTACTCACTTTACTGTCAGTTGACATTTATTTATTTTGAAGTTTTTGCTTCAAGATGTCGTATAAATTAGAAATAGGAACAAGTATAGATCTACAGGTTGGTTGGGCGAGTAACCAGAGCTGAAATCTGTCGAATATTCCAGAATAAATACATTTCACGTAGAACCATTTATCGAATAATAGCGGAGTGCGATCAGGGAATACCACGTCTGAATCTTCCAAAAAGTGGTATACCACGCGCATTTACTGCACAGAGGTCAGAGACATTGGTGAGAAGCCCAAAAAAATAGGGTGGAATGTCAACAAGGAGACTGGCTTGTCAATACAGATATCGTTGGAGTTGAGGAGGTATGGTCTTAAATATCTAAAGAGAATTTTTTTGAACAATGGCACTGGGATCTAACCCATCAACCAGAAACAAGTTATGTACCAAATAATAAGAATATTATGATCAAAACGTTTTCGTAGAGAAAGCATCACGAGGAAAACTAATCTAGTATGGCAGGAGAATAGGAAATTTGAGGTAATCGTCAGGGTCACACATTCTTTTCGCCCAGGGGCCTATCAGGGCATTTTGCCGTGTTCACATACAAGAGGGCCGCGGTAAGAGGGACGAAAATACATATATCGAAAGGACAGAGGAAAAACGCTAAAACTTATACAGGGTGTTTCAGTTTATTGTTGCGTAACTTTAAGATTCGGTAGAACTTTTAAAATTAATGCATAAAGTCTATATAAACATGGGTCGAAAATTGCGTGGCTTCCGAAATACAGGGTGTTTAAATTTACTTTTTAAAATAGTTTTTTTTTAAATGTTTCGAATAATATTTGAAGTATAACAGTGAAAATTGATATACAAGGGTTTTTTGGTACGACAAAATGAATCATGGGCATAGTTTTACTGTAGCCGCTAGAGGGCGCTCTCTACTGTACCTGTAGTGTATGACGTTTAACCTTATTCTGCTTTCAATTTCAAAAATATTTGCAGGCACATTATACTTCTAAAAATTATCGAGATACTGACTTTTTAACGTTATTTTATCATAAATAATTAAAAATGCATCGAACCTTAAAAATCGAAATATCTCAAAAACGGCTAACTATAACGAAAATTCACAAGAGAGCTTTTTTATGTTGAAAAGTGCGAAGAATCAGTTTTTTTGTTCAAAAAGCAAAAAATTGCACTAAGAAAAATTTTTCGGTCATTTTAATACACTACAGGTACAGTAGAGAGCGCCCTCTAGCGGCTACAGTAACATACAAAAACATACAAAGCCTTCTCTGTAGTGTATTAACCTTGTGCCAGATTTCGTAGCAGTACTTTCCGAGTTCAACAGCGGCCATCGATCACCGGATGGACAACAAAGCAAGAAGGTGACAAGCTTTTTCGTGGTATCTCGATTCCAAAATGTTTGGCATTTGAAGTACTTCATTATCCATTCGCGTAAGAAGGCAGTTGAGTAAGCTTTTTTGTTTTTTCAGATGTTGTAACAAGAGGATGTATTCCAAAAACATCTAGTGACGTGTTCTGTGACAGTGCAAAGAAATCAAGCTCAGTTGTGGACTACTGTGGAACCTGTTCTACAGATCTGTGCAACTCCAGTAGTGCTATCGCATCGTCCCTAGTCATATTAATGACGACTATGTTTGTTAAACTTGTGGTTTAGATACCACCGTATTTATAAACTTTTGTAAAAAATATACTCAATATAAGAGGTTCCTTTGTTAGTTACTGCTCAAGGGTTGAATGCATAGATGTTCCTTCACTTGAGGACTGCTTACCTGACTTGCTTTGACAGTCTTGACACATTAGAGTAGCAGGTGTGTTTGGACGAGTTGTTAAATTAATATATATATATATATATATATATATATATATAAATATTAAGGAAGGGCTATGTTTACACCGTAGGTAACCACAGTACCCCCGTTGAAGTGATTGCACGCCGATTGCCGGCTGGCGGGGTACAAGTTCGTGGTGAACATGAAGCAGCAAGAGGACTAGCGAATGAAGAACTTCGTTTCATTTTTCAAATATAAAGCAACTTTTCGTGTTTTCGCGTATATACAGGGTGTTTCAGTTTATTGTTGCATAACTTTAAGATTCGATAGAACTTTTAAAATTAATGCATAAAGTCTATATAAACATAGGTCGAAAAATGCGTGGCTTCCGAAATACAGGGTGTTTAAATTTACTTTCTAAAATAGTTTTTTTTTAATATTTTGAACAATATTTGATGTATAACAGTGAAAATTGGTATACCAGGGTTTTTTGTACGACAAAACGAACCATGGGCATAGTTTTACTGTAGCCGCTAGAGGGCGCTCTCTAATGTATTAAAATGACCGAAAAATTTTTCTTAGTGCAATTTTTTGCTTTTTGAATGAAAAAACTGATTCTTTGCACTTTTCAACATAAAAAAGCCTTCTTGTGAATTTTCGTTATAGTTAGCCGTTTCTGAGATATTTCGATTTTTAAGGTTCGATGCATTTTTAATTATTTATGGGAAAATAATATTTTTTACTGCATTTTCGATTTGGGCATTACAAGTAATTAAGATGATCGTTTAGATTGTGTTTTTAAACACAGCAATAATTCCTAACTCCAAATAAACACAAAAAACAGAATATTAATTTGTTTAATTTTCCAATATTATTTTTAACAAATTGAATTGATTATTTACAACTAAAATGCTATTGGATAGTTAGGATAAACATACAAAATCTAAAGTAGTTGCTCGAAATGTAAACCCAATTGTTCAATACACAATTCACATCTACGATTTAGGTCAGGGGATCGTGGAGGCCAGGCGACTGGTCCTCCACGGCCGATCCATCTTTCTGGATAATTTTCGTCCAGCCAGTTTCTAACTATTCTCGAATAATGAGCTGGACAACCATCAAGCTGGAACCCGGCCAATCTTCTTAAATATAACATAACATCATCCCACATATTTGCATGTTCAGCCTTTAAAAATTCCAAGAAGGTCGCAGCATTTAACCTTGCAGGCAAAAGGTAGGGTCCAAATAGTCGATTACGGTAGATACCAATCCACCCGTTCACACTAAATTCATGCTGAAAATTTCTTTCCCGAACTGCATGCGGATTTTCATGCGACCAAATATGTTGATAATGAAAATTTACCACTCCACGTCTAGTGAAGCATGACTCATCGGTCCATTACACGTTACTTAAAAACTCCCTATTATTTTCAGTTCTATCAAGAATCCCTTGACAAAATGTGATTCTTCGTTCTCCGTCCCCTGGCTGTAGTCCTTGCACAGGTTGCAAATGGTAAGGACACGGTGAACATGGATTGCTGAAATTCCCAAGGCACCAGAAACTCTCCTAACACTTGTGGTCGGATCTCTATCAAACTCACGCAGAATCATACGGGTAAATCTGCGCCGACGAACATTTATGTTTTGATCCCTTTGGAGATTTCCAAAACCATTTTCAATTATTTAGCGATGCACTCTTACAAATACTGAGCGAGTTGGATGTCGTCTGTTTGGAAATCTTCGTGCGTATTCTCTGGCTGCTTCTGCTGCGTTTCCATTTACAAAGCCATACACAAAATGAATATCCGCTAACTCTTGATTGGAGAATAAAAATGGCATTTTTATAAAACTTACAAAAAAAAACTGGTAAAAGAAACTAAATTTCGTGCATTCACAATTGCAAAAAAACGTTTCAGGTCTCAACAGACAACAAAACTAACTGTCAACTAATTGACGCTTAACCTAATTCTAACTTTCAATTTCAAAAATATTTGCACGCACAGCCTACTTCTAAAAATTATCGAGATACTGACTTTTTAACGTTATTTTATCATAAATAATTAAAAATGCATCGAACCTTAATAATCGAAATATCTCAAAAACGGCTAACTATAACGAAAATTCACAAGAGAGCTTTTTCATGTTGAAAAGTGCGAAGCAAAAGATTGCACTAAGAAAAATTTTTCGGTCATTTTAATACACTACAGGTACAGTAGAGAGCGCCCTCTAGCGGCTACAGTAAAACTATACCTATGGTTTGTTTTGTCGTACCAAAAAACCCTTGTATACCATGCCATACATCAAATATTGTTCGAAATATTAAAAAAACTATTTTAGAAAGTAAATTTAAACACCCTGTATTTCGGAAGCCACGCATTTTTTGACCCATGTTTATATAGACTTTATGCATTAATTTTAAAAGTTCTATCGAATCTTAAAGTTATGCAAAAATAAACTGAAGCACCCTGTATGTAGTCTGGTACCAGAACGAAAGAGATTAACACCACTGCTAACTCGGCGTGCTGAGTACGTCGGAATGCGCCATCACCGACTTTGCCGATACAGAAGCATGTCGCATTAGCAGTGGCGTACTCTGGCTACCCTATTAAGAATATTTCACTTCTCAAGCACAAGCCAATTGGGCCACGTCCATGGGAAGGAAAGTGGGGAAACTTATTACGTCATAGCAGAACTTTCAGGTCACAGCTTTGGCGTGAGGCTTAACGTTTGAAGTTTGGATGGTAACTTTACCTACTTCTGCTTCACTGAGAAAAATAAAAACCCTCAGAACGTGTTGAAAGCAAAATATGGACATCCCGTCAGAATACAAAATTTTGAAAAACACCCATTCACACAATCTGTTTTATTCTATTATTACATCGTATGACAGAAAAAGGATTGTATCTTAAACTTCCTTAAGCGCATATACATTTTCCATACCATTCGGTGCCACCTTGCCTTCCTATTTCATGACAGTAGGTTTCGCAGTCGTTGTTGTGGTGGCCACCGATGCAGACGCAACGATCCAGTCCATAGCGGTTGGTACACTGCCCTGAGCTGTACTCCTTCTGTTGACATGATTTCACACACTCATCGACTATGCATTCTAAAAAAGTAAATAGTTCATGATATTGTTTAATAATGATAGGCAACAAAAACCTAATTACACCATTACAGCCCGACTTCATGAATGGTAGATCCACTACTTCAGACTTAATGACATTTACGCAATAATGGTTGGGAAATCTAGAAACTGGAGATACTACAGACCAAAATATGTGATTTGACCTAAGCAACGACTTATTGTCTACCTAAAATTATTCATACAGTTCAAAGCAATATTATGACAAACATTAGAAACCATAGCAACGATACTCAAATATTATCCAAAGGAACTTGATTATTATGTTATGTTTTATCGTCATGGTACAAACGAGGCGTGTATTTCCAAATCCCGCCTTACCCATTTTATAAGAATTTTTAGGCAGCGTCATCTAGTTTTTCCCTCATAAAATGATATATCTAATGTAGCTCCAAATCTTCTCTATTCCTTATATACTAAGTGACATATAAATCCGAACACCCAGTTTAAATGGTTTTATTTTAATAAAATTTTGGACAAGTACTTAATGAAGCATAATAAGTAAATGATAAAAATTTCAAAATGATTTCACTGCTTTAAAGCCCTTTGACCTTTAATAATGTGTGGATGCACCCTGATGTGCTACGCATTCTCCAACGCGCGTAGGCATGCTTCTGATCAGGTGGTCAATGTCCTCCTGTGGTATCTCATTCCAGGCAACCACCAACTCCTCTCGAAGTGCTTCTAGAGTTTGAGGAGGACGTTGCAAATTGAGCAATCTCCTACCCATCATATCCCACACGTGCTCAATTGGGGATAAGTCGGGAGATCTTGGTGGCCATGGTAATAGTGTGACATCATTATGTTGAAAGAAGTCTATTGTGACTCTTGCAACATGTGGTCGGGCATTATCTTGTTGGAAAGTTGGATCTGCCAGGGTGTCAAGATAGGGTAAAAGATGGGGTTCTAGAACTTCGCTGCGCGTTCATGTTACCTCTGATGAAGATTAAAGGTGACCTGGAACCATAAGCTATAGCACCCCAAACCATAACTCAAACAGTGTGATGAACATGTCTTTCAACAAAAAACTGTGGATTCCTCCTTTCACCACGTCGCCTTCTAACCCTTACACCGACGTAATCGCCTTGAGTGGTGCAGACAACGGTCACTCTGGGATTAGGAATGGAACAGTATTGTCTTTAGTGACGAGTCTCGATTTTGTTTAGGCATGCACGATGGTCGTGCCAGGGTTAGAAGTCGACCTGGTGAAAGTGCATAGAACTTAAAGAATGTATTAAGAGAGTCCGTTGTTCAAAGGAAACAAGTACGTAGATTGCTCAATATAGAGTTCATAAACTTAAGGCTAAGTCTTTTTTTGAATTCTTGAAAACAGAGGAAGAAAAAAATATGGTTTTACCACGAGTACCCGATCAAGCCGCTTATTATAGTCGGCAAGTCTACTGCTACAACTTTACAATATGCCAAGAACATTCTAGAGCGTCTCAAAATAAAGATACTGTTTTTATCTAGGTACATGGCTGGAGAGTGAATATGCCAAAGGCTCAAACCAAATTACTTCAGAAGTGTTTCATCGTCTCTGCAACACGAACATGGAATCATATGACACCATTAAACTTTTTGCAGATGGTTGTGGAGGCCAAAATAAAGATTGTACTATGGTAGGGATGCTTTCCAGCTGGCTAAAATCCACAGCTCCACCAAATGTAAAACAAATCCATTTAATATTTCCTGTGCCAGGGCACTCCTACATACCCCCTGATCGAGTGTTTGGTCGCATAGAAAAAGTTGTTAAAAAAATGAACACTATTGTAAAACCAGACGAATACGAAAATATTTTTTCAGAATTTGGGTCAGTGTTCCGCTTGGGAATTTCTGTTGAAGTTGCAGATTGGAAAACAGAGATATCCAATGTTACTAAGGCACCAGCTCAATGACACTTCAAGTTTGCCCCATGTAAACGTATTCTAATTAAAAAAAAACCGAAAGGATCACTAGATATTCAAGGTGAAGCAAGTTATCGAAGCGATCTGGGATCATTCAAATCGATCCTCAAAAAAGGAAAGACTCTGAACAATATCTGCCCTGAAATAATCCCGAAAGGTCAAAATATAAATATTTTAAAGCTGAATGATTGCGACAAACTTCTTATGAAGCATTTTGGAGAAACTTGGAGAGACTTACCCGATCTTCAGTTCTATAAAAATGTCATCGACAGTAATAATAATATTCACAACTCATCTGAGAGAGAGGAAGATCAGTGCAAAGATGAGGATTTAGATTTAAGAGTTTATATAATTTGTATTATAATAATATAAATGAATAAAAATAATTTCTTTCCAATGTAAATACAAGCCAGTTTCTTATTTATTTCCAAATACCGTCTACTCCATGTTGTATTTCCATAAGCCACCTTATCCAAACTTCAATATTTTTTTACATGTGAAATCATAAACGAAAATAGGTTTGGGTTATTTTATTTACTTCTAGTTAATCAATGACAAAGTATAACATTATGTATCACCCTCTCAGTATTTATTGAAAACTCTTATAACATTTTCGTGAATTATGCAATATTATGTTTGATAGATAAGGCGCTGGCTGGAAATACACGCCTCAAATATTGCATTGGAACTGTTAAAAACAAATATCACGAAAACTATTAGCTTTAGACAAGTGATCCTTTTTTGGTGTGGAAATACGAGAAACTAAGATTTTTTGGTCAGTTGTAGCACAGGGTAGCACAAAAAAGTTATGTTACGCTATTTACCGAAATAGTGCTGTAAGTGGCGCCCTCTAAGCAATAAGGAAAGATAGAAAATTAAATTATGACTTTGACACCCTGTATCTCGCAAAGTATCTACTTTTGGACTGAGGTATGCTTAGGTCAATTCACATATTTTGGTCTGTAGTATCTCCAGTTTCGAGATTTCCCAACCTTTCGCAGACATGGATTTTAGCAAGGATTTCGATAATCTTCTAGTGTATGGCCTTCATTACTTTGGCCTTTGACTCGTTGGTCAGTCTAGTAAGCTCATATATTTCCAATAGAATACAATATGTTTATTATAATTGTTATTTTCAGCAAATTATACTACTCCCTCTGGGGTGCCGCAAGGACCAAGCATAGGCCCTTTGCTCTTTTTACTCCTTATAAATGACCTTTCCGCTTCACTAAAGTGTTACAATCTACTATTTGCGGATGATCTGAAAATCTAGGCCAAAATTACAAATTTAGGGAACTGTATTTCCCTTCAGGAGGATCTTGATACTATCCCACAATGGTATGACAATAATTTTCTTTTGTTTGGGGCTATGACAGATTCTCGATTTTTGATCTGGGAAATTTTTCTATGCATCTTTCTGATCTTTGGACTAAAAAAAAGTCATATCTCATTTTTTTCGAAAATTGGCTATAACCCGAATTATCGAATTTTTAACTTCCCGCAATAAATGTCTTTAGGCTCGACCTCGTATTTCTTTTTATTACCCTCTCCATGTAAATAGGGCATTTCTCTGGTTCTATGATAACTACCTACACCTCAAACATGCAACTGCAAAGTAAGAATAATATTGACAGTAGACTTGACAGTATAATTTTATTTTCTCAAAAATGCCTGATCTTTTTCAAAAGAACGAGAGAATTGTATAAGATTGTAGGAGAAGGTCGTTTATTGAATTATGTACCTTCAATTTATAATGTTGATCGGTCCTCAATATGCCGTTTAAGGCATAGATATCAGGATACCGGAAAACCGCAGGAAGTAACGCGAAGGAGAACCCTTTCATCCAGAACCTTGAATGAAAACTAACAGTGACACAGTGGAATAATAGAATCCAATCGTATCGTAATAAGAATTCTAATTTGTTAAGGTATGTAAATGTTTTAAAAAAAATTGCTATGTACTTTTTTAGAGTAGCACTTCATCCAGAGCAAGACGTCGCGCCAAGTGTACCCGACTCTTGAACAATCATAGAGTCGCCAGGTACTAATGGGCACAGGAGCAGGTAAATTGACATCAGTGACAAATTTGCATGTTTTCCGATTAACCTGCCTAAAGAGTTGCAAAAAAGTTTTCTTTTATTATTTTTTAAAAAACCTTATTAAAAGACGACACTTTGGAGGTATTTTCAATTTATTCTAAAACAAATACATAAACAGTTAGTTTTTTAGGATGTACTATACATAGTACATTAGGAATAAAGGTAGCTATAAGAATAATAATAAAAAAAATATTGAAAATAGTACAAATATTTTGAAACACATCAATATTGCAAATTTTAAAGAGTATGATATTGAACAAAACATTTCACGTGAAGTACGAAATCAGATTTTCTACATCTAGTAGTCGTGCACTCATGACAGTGTGCACACCTTGTTTGTTTTCCTTGTGGAATGACTAAATGATCTAAGCGATCATACCTTATGTCACCAAAATTTCTTGATTTACCTTGCTGGTACGTATATGTCTTGTTATTTTGTGTCAAGATAGTTGTAGCTACACTTCTTCTAAATTGTAATTGATCCACGTTATGTCCTCTCTTTTTATAAATATGCCAGGCGTTTGTCATGGCCATATCTACACATTGAGAGATCAACGAGAAATAGGTACCTTTTTTGCCTCGGATTTGTACTCTGTATTGAGCTATATTCTGGTCTGATCTATCCACCCCACCCATACATTTATTATACAGCTTGACAACTTGGGACTGATCTACATACACAAACTGTTTTTGTTTTTGAGAATACCGCTTTACTGAATTTACTGGTTCAATTCCAATCGCTGTAGTTCCAAAATTTACAATATTGTTGTCATTCCATTTTACAAAAATTAAGTTTTTATCTTTTACTTTGGTATAATCAAACACTCCACGTTGTTCCTTTTTCATAAGTTTGGAATTTTTCAAAGAAGACAGAGGTATACGATTTTCACGAATTGTTCCTGTACCACATATGCCTTTTTCAGTCAAGCTTTCAAACAAAGCTGGCGAAGAAAAAAAATATCAAATACAAAATAAAACCTAAGATTTGCCCATTTGCTTTTTAGCCTATCAGCATAGCTCAATACAACTGATGCGCCAACACCTAAAGATTTGTAATCCGCGTTCACATACGTACCCTGATAAGGTTCAAACCATAAGATGTAACCAAGAGTAGTAGCGCCAATCCAAAATTTGAACCCATAACGTATTGGTTTCCCGTGGATATACTGTTTACAACCATGTCGCCCGTTGTATGGAACCATTGCCTCATCAATATTATGATGCTCTTCTGGTACTGCGTATTCCAAAAATTTTTTATTTAGGTGATTGAAAAGACGCCTTAGTTTAGCAAATTTATCATTTGCGTCCAGAGCTTCATTGTTTAGGAAGTGAGTGTGAGACATTATAAATTCAAATTTATCGCGAGAAATAGCTTCAGAAACAAGTGAGTTGTGTGAATCACTGGATTTTTCCCAATACATCCTTCTGCGAGATACACTACTGTAGCCACTCAACAATAATATGCCTAGTAAACATTTAATTTCAGGTTTGGTAACCATAATATTCCTGTTTTTCTGTTGAGCATACCGATTTGTCTCCTCAACTATTATGTTCAAAATTTCGTCATCAAAAAAACTAAAAAATATCTCGATTGGGGACTGCTCTTATTCATTTTGATTTTCGTTGTTTATTGGAAACGCATACTCATTTCTTGGCAAATCTTCTTTTACGTAATTATATGTTTTCTTCTTTTTCACTTCCTTCCGATTATTACCCCTGATTTCACTGAGTGGTATTTCATCTTCTGAACTCCACATATCCTCGTCTAGATTCTGATTTACTTCGACCTCAGCTTGCATAAAGCTTCTTGGCAAGTTGTTAATATCCAGTCTTTCTTCGTCTCCAGAATCCTCGTCGGTTATGTTACCGCATGAATTAATGGGAGGTAACAAAGTGATAGACTCAGCTTCAATGTCGTCATCTTCTATCATTGCTAGCGCCCCATGCAAAGAAAAACCCCTGAAACAAATGTTTCTTCTCAAAATAATTACTTATTCAAAAATAATTTACCTAAAACCATTTAATTTTTGTTTTGACTATGAACATATTCGTAGACCCCTTTCTTCCTGTGAACTAAATATAGTACACCTAACTTTATCATAACCTCACAAACAAAGCATAAATGAAACACATCATAAAATCTAGAAGCCGCAACTAAGGAAATAATATTTTCATAAAAATAAACTAGTTTTTTTTATCTTATGTCATAAAAAACCTACTTACTTTGCAAAGCGGACGCCATATTCATTCATCTTCTATTTTCCAATATACAAAAACTGATTTCACATACAAATTTTGCACAATACGCAAAATTACTCCGTACAGTACAGATATCTACAGGAACAAACAAGTTTAGGCTGTACTATTGACAGTACATTAGGCATAAATGGGTTAAATACGCTTCAACATATACCACTCTGTGCCCCTATTCTTGACTTTGATAGAAAATCACACTCCCCCTCTTTTTCTTCTCCCCCGGTTTTCTATCGATTCGAAAATACGGTATTCTTGAAAGGACTTGACAGAAAGGAGAAACGAAATCAAGGCGCAGCGTTGCCAGGTTTGAATAAACGTGTTAAATCAATGAAAATGGAGATAATTTTGCCAGTCAAAAACTAACTAAGGATTTTGGTCAAGATTTTCTCCTTGTACTTTCATCTATGGAGCCGAAAACTTAAACATTACAAATGAACAAAAGGACAAAAATCTAAACATCTTTACAAATTTGCGATCCGAAATTATGAAAGGTTCTCGGTGCCTAAGAATATCTCTTCTAATATCTCTTTCGTTAACTGCCTCCTCTACATCCTGGTTAATAATATCGTTCCAATACATCAATTGATTGAAATTATCTATTTTTTGCAATATGTTTAGCAGGAACGACCATAACACGTCAATTTTTAGGTTATACAGGGTGTTCCTTAATGATATACGAATATTTGAGGGTGTGAATCTACATGAAAAATTAATGTTAGTTTGCTTTATAAACTATGGTCCAAAAACTCGGGGTGTTGAAGTTTTAGGAAAAAAATAGAAATTAATTAATATTTTCAGAACCGCTTCAGATATTTCACTGATATTTAGTATGTAGTGTAAGTTAATAAAGTTGCATATTTTTAAATGCAAAAATAATTTTTAGCTTTAACAGTGGCGTGCGTACGGGTATTGACTTCGATATTTTTAAGGAAAAAAATAGCACGCCAATGGTTTTTTGCCAAATAAAATTTATTTTTGAATTCTCTGTTCAATCTCTCTTTAATTGTTTTCCTTCGATGCGCCATTTTTGATTAAAAAAAATAAAAAACGTTCTATTGTCAGAAGAAATTAATGTAATAATTGGAGAATCCAATTTAACAATAAATATCTAGTCTTTTTCATTATTTAGTTTTTACAATCTTGTTAATAATGGTGAATTATTCAAATGCAAGAAATGGCGGAAATGCGTTACGTATATGGCCTTGCGACGGTAATTTCGAGCAAGCCAGACGGATTTATCACCCAGAGGTATCCCGATCGTGCTTTGCCAGATAGTCGAACCTTTTCTAATATTCATCGTCGTCTTGTTGAAACTGGTTATGTCCGAAAAGGAACATCTGAAGGAAGACCTCTATTGTTATATCCTTACCATATTTAAGGCATTACTTCCTATTAATTTTCCAAGGCGTGAGACCTATTGTCAATGGTATCTTCAAAAAATTGCTCAAAATCCTCAATTTGAATCAATGATTCTGTTCGCGGACGAAGCTAGTTTTTCTCGAAATGCCATTCAGAATGTCCACAATAATCATTTGTAGGCAGAGGAAAATCCCTATGCCGTAACCAAAACACATTTCGAACACCAATTTTCGGTTAACCTATGGGCAGGAATTATTGGCAACCACTTTATTGGCCCATTCTTCGTACCGGGACGACTTGACGGAAGAATGGCCACCAAGGACTCCAGACCTCAACAGTTTAGATTTCTTTTGTAGGGCTACCTTAAGACACTAGTGTACACAAGTACCATCAACACTGCAGAGGTATTAAGAGAAATAATAGTTGCAGCTTGTGATAGAATAAAAAACACACCAGGGATATTTCAACGAGTGCGCAATTCCATGAGAAGGAGGGCGGAAGCATGCATACTATGTGAAGGGGGTTTTTTTCAACAATTTTTGTAATCATTTCGTTGGTTTTAATGTTATGTTTATGTTGTCAGTTGTTATTGTTCATTACCCCTAATGTGTTTAATTTTTCCAGTTAAATTAATGATAATTTTGCAAGTTAGACAATAGAACGGTTTTTATTTTTTTACTCAAAAATGGCGCATCGAAGGAAAACAAGTCAAGAGAAATCATTTGTTTTAAATTGAACGGTGAATTCAAAAATAATTTTTATTTGTCAGAAAACTATTGGCGTACCATTTTTTCTTAAAAAATATCGAAGTCAATACCCGTACGCACACCACTGTTAAAGCTAAAAATTATTTTTGTATCGAAAAATATTCAACTTTAATAACTTACACTACGGTTCTGCGGTTCTGAAAATATTAAATAATTTCCATTTTTTTCCTAAAAATGAACACCCAGACTTTTTGTAAGGAAACATTTATGGACCATAGTTTATGGAGCAAACTAACATTAATTTTTCATGAGATCCACATCCTTAAATATTCGCATATCATTAAGGAACACCCTGTATAGCGCTATTTTCTACTAATTTGTCCAGTTTCTCTTGGTTGCGACCTTTTGTACAAGATTTTGAGGAGGGTTTTGTCTTCATCGATGATAACGCCAGGCCGCACAGAGCTCGTACTGTTATAAACTTTTCGGCAGAAAACTGTGTTACATTATGGCCTCTGCCATCAGAGTCTCCAGACCTAAACATAATTGAGCGTGTGTGGTATCGGCTAAGATTTTTAGTGCAGTCAAGACAAGATGCTCCTCAAACAATGGGAGAACTGACTGAGGACATGCAGGATGAGTGGGAAAACGTATCCCGAGAATTTATTAATAACCTTCATCAGGAAAGTATGCCACGAAGATGCCAGGCTGTGATCGACGTGCGGAAAGGCCCTACAAGGCACTAACAATATTGTTTAAAATAACTGTAACAGTTCTGCAACAAAGTTCGTTTTTGTCATAAATAAATAATCTAGGTACCTATTTAATTGGTCTTCAATTTTTTGTTTTCTAAATTGTTACTTATTGTTAATGTTAATAAATTCTTTGATGTCGTTTAATAGCTTAATAGACTCTATTACCTATTGGAAAACATCTCCAATGAAGACGCGTACGCCTTTGCAGAATGAAAAAGATAAAAAATTCCAGATAAAAGATGAATAGCAGAGCTAGGATTTGTTCATTAAGCTGTAATAATTGCATAGTAAAATTTATAAATTCGGTTTAAATTACATAATGTCATTGTAGCAAATTTTGCCACTGGAGGCAATAACGTTCAATGATGGCTTCAATATTTTCTCGGGCTCAAGAAATTCCAGTCTATGCAACAGTATCAGAAAAAATACTTATTCTAAAGAGAAACCCCAAAAAGTCCCTTTTTTATGGATAAATGTAACACTTCTTTAAAATAGTTTCAATTATAGCTAACGTCCGAAAAATTTGAGATACTTGAAATTGGGTAAAATTTTCCAAGTTGCAACGCAACTATCCACCAATCTATTATAAAAAAAAGAACTTACCAGCATTCACTAGTCCCACGACAGTGATAGCAACGAATATAAGTACTATAATACTCTTCATTCTTCAAGAAAGTATCTATTTTGCACACAATACTGTCCCTCTATTACAAGTACAGGCACCAATCTAACATTCTAACTTATGTGGAATCTTCCTACCCTTCTCAATCTACTGATATCTCAAGTACATGATATCACCAATCAGCTTTTCAGAATCGATTGTATGCAGAGTGGTTTAAAAAATAAATTTCCACACTACAGATGGCATGAAGTGGGCATAGAACACGAATGTTATGGTGAGTTGGCATTACATCCCTAATGTACAGAAAGGGAAAGCTCAAAAGTAAGGGCCGATTTCACCAACATTAATATTATGGACCAATGGGAAAATACCTTATCGAAATGCAATTTGACAGAAGCTGCCAAAGGTCTCTGAATATTAGTGATTTCTATTGAAATATTAAAGAAAATCGTGAAAATTCGACTGTATTATAAACAAGACCACGTTTTGATTCCAACATGATGCTTTTGTACAGAAAAAACAGGACAACTTTCATGTATTTTGATGTGTGTTATAGGTTTACATTTAAAAATCCGTTATCCCCTTCAGCGAATGGGAATGCGGCAAATAATAGGTCGATTTTCTAGCTGTTTAATTTGGCAGCAGATTTGGACGTTTGTTAATGCATGGCACTCTCGAATTTACCAACTTCAATATACTGAAAGTTATCATTACATACCTGTTGAATAGTGTGGATTTGTCAGTATTTTGCAAGAAAATGGAATACAAACTACATTCCATCCAATCCCTCATCTTCCTTTACGTCATAATAGTAATCATTTATTAATTTATGGGTTAATGAATTTCTTCAAAGCAATAAAAACATTATGTTCTCTCCATCCTAAAACACATACATATAATATGTGTAAGACGTGTCAATCCCTACATCTCCCTGATGCATAATGCAATTACTATGGACATAGACAAAAAATTATGAAAAATGTTTCACAAAATGTCTTTTAAGTCCAAAAAACCATAAAACCAAGTAATGTTTTTCTTATTGACTGGCAGGGATATCTATCTGTCACTCGCAGGGTTGCCAAGTCTAACGACGATCACGTCCCGTGGTGGAGGGTGCGAAATGAATCTTTTACATTTGCTGATTTTGAATATTTTTCGTGAAAATTTACTAGGTATCATGATTTTAAGCATCTTTGGTAGATTGTTCGATCCGTCATGGGAAAGATCTCCTATTTATGAAAATATTTTCGATACTCGTGAAATGTATTGATACTTCTAAATATAGGATCGTATCGAACATCCCTACTGTCAAGATGTATAACCCAAGGTACCGACGGAGCTATTTTGCGGCGTCATGGAAATAATTTTAAATTTTCATTCGCATTTTTTCAAGTGTTGTGCAATGATTTTGGGAAAAATGTCACGAATAGTCTTATAAAGCATAGTAGAGTATATTTCAACAGTTGGCGGAACTTACTCGACTGGTACCAGGAGGGTGAAACGGGATATTAATGCACAATCTGGCAACCCTGTCGCACCCTCACAAAATGGCCGCTGACAACCACACAAGTCACCGTGTTGTCATTGAATAGCATGGAATTAAACCATCAGAGTACATATGTTTTGTGACTGGTACCAAGAGTTGACACATCCCACACATGTGTCACTCCTTGAAATGCAATAATCAGATGTATTCAAATAATGTCTAATATAAATATAACCTAGAATGTGTACTCGTTACAAAAGAAAAATATGGCAACTTTCTAGTTTTTTGGGAGGTTTTAGGTTTGCTGGTAGCTTTAAGGCATATATTTGGGAATTTCTTAATCGCTGTGAATATAGTGTGGATTTTTGTTCAGTTCCTGAACAACGAAAAATATTCAACTTTATGGATGTATGGATATCAAAAAACCTGAATGGTTTTGTTGTAATATCAATCTAAGGTGCCATAATGGTTCTGATGAACGGCAAGTAAATGAATGAATGTTTGGAAACGAGCAATATCTTTTGGTAGAGCCTGTCATCAAGTAGGTGCTTAATGGCTATCTGCAAGAGGTTTATAGGAAAAAACAGCCAGTATCGCATATCAATTGAAGAAAGTAATATAAACATGAATAAAAAATCAACAATAGTAATTAAAACATGAATTTTATTCATAAATCCAACATTTCTTTAAATTTTGACTGAATTATATGTAATTTCTTAATATTCAATAAGCTGGTGATGTTTCAATGACAACATGTCATCTCATACTTTGACAGTATTTTGTTTTCAACATTTCATAGCTATTGGTTGCTAAAATTTGTTGATTGGAACTTCATTCGCTGTATTTAACGGGCTGTTACCCTATAGGTGGGAGAATAAACGGACGTTGTTGGTGAAATGGGCCCTAGTCTAAATATTTCGCTTTTAGAACTGCGTAATTCCTTCGACTTGTTGAGTGAACTATCACTCGAAACGACAATGCTGCCCTGGTTCTAGGTAGAAACAACTTCATTTCAATTGTTTGACATTGTTCAAGCAAATTGAGGAGATGCGTTTGAAACAAAAGAACTCTCTCTTCGCCGTAATCTGACGGTCTGTTACCCATAGGTTGGAGATAACGGACTGTTGTTGGTGAAATTTTCCCTAGAGTTACAAAACAGTAACAATCGATAATACCATCTTTATACACTTGTGACCATGGTAACCATTCGATGATAGATTTATGGTTTGTTCGTACAGTGGTCGGAGAAGTATGAATGATGAAGTTCTTGGTGATTTCATTGAAATTTATAAAAGTAAACTTTGCTTGAGGAAAGTGAAAAATAAAGACTATCGTAATAGAAACAAGAAAGATGCTGAATATAGGAAATTAGTGAATAAATTGAAGGAAATAGGGCCTGATGCAAACGAGACCTTTATTAATAAAAATCAACAGGTTGAGATCCAATGTTCGAAAGGAGCGGTGAGTCTTTCATGTGGGGATATAGCGGCTCTCATTTGTGTATCTTTCTTCTTAATCAAGGGAGATACAAGTGACAGCAACATGCATAGGAAATTGTTATAATCAGATGGTTCATGTCTTAATTCATTATGGAGATTGATATGGGTAAATTTATGTCTTCTCTTCAACCATTCCTTATGCCGCTGTTTGCGTTTCTTCTGTCTGTTGTTAAGTTTCGCAAATATTAAAAATTTTGGGCAAGAAAGAGCAGATCATCTGCCGGTGAATCCATGATGTGAACTGACAAACTTGACAGGTATTCATGAAGAGTGTGTATACTCCTGGTAGTATCAGGGACACCTGACAGGCGTAACTGCTCAAACGTATCTGTCAGGTGTACCTGATAGTGTGTGGTCGGCATTAGACTGTACGAACAGGACTATAGCTCTTTTCACGGTTTTTGGCGGTTACGTTATCAATGCCATGCGAAATAAATAAGCATCTCCTAACTGAACCATGTGCGGAGCTGAAGCTGGCAAACCGGTCTTAAACGCAGATGATCTTGCATACATTAACTGGTTAATTGCTTTCATTCGCTGAGCCCATACTGAGCCAGACCGCGGCAAATACTTAATATGGAAGTAAAGTTGTATTCAGTACACGGCTTCTTCCCGTTCAAGTGATTGTACACGCGTTGAGGTATACCTTAGTACCGATTGCCGGAAGTGGTACTAGTTAGCCTACGGGCCACTTTAGGTCTATTTAATATCGCTTACAGTAGAAAAGCACAACAAATAAATTAATGACGATGGATTCCTTGAGTACTAAGAAGTCCGGACGTAAACTCACTTCACTCTCGGAATATCCGGATGGAGGGTGGACTCGAGGGAATAAGATCGATGCTAAAATTTTTTTCACTACCTGCCATCTAATCATCCCGCCATTCTTTTCTTGCACTCCAATCTGAGGAAGAACGGAGGAGCTGTGGCTCTTGTTCGTAGCTGTCTTTCCTGATCCAAAGACGTTTTCTTGGATCAGACCGAAAGAACATTATGTGTCTCCCCTGGGTAACCCAGACCACGGTGTTGTGGAGGTTAGGTTTTGGCAGCAGAAACTCGCCCAGGCCGCAAAACTTGGTACTACGGATATGCCGTCCAGGTGTTCCCCAGGGATCTGTCTTGTCCTCGACACCGTATGATTCTGCGTGAGGTTGATAGAGATCCGACCACAAGTGTTAGGAGAGTTTCTGGTGCCTTGCGAATTTCAGCAAGCCATGTTCACCGTGTTCTTAGAAATGACCATGGATGTCCTTACCATTTGCAACCTGTGCAAGGACTACAGCCAGGGACGGAGAACGAAGAATCACATTTTGTCAGTGGATTCTTGATAGAACTGATAATAATAGGGAGTTTTTAAGTAAAGTTTTATGGATCGATGAGTCATGCTTCACTAGACGTGGAGTGGTAAATTTTCATAATCAACGTATTTGGTCGCATGAAAATCCGCATGCAGTTCGGGAAAGAAATTTTCAGCATGAATTTGGTGTGAACGTGTGGATTGGTATCTACCGTAATCGACTATTTGGACCCTACCTTTTGCCTGCAAGGTTAAATGCTGCGACCTTCTTGGAATTTTTAAAGGCTGAATATGCAAATATGTGGGATGATGTTATGTTAAATTTAAGAAGATTGGCGTGGTTCCAGCTTGATGGTTGTCCAGCTCATTATTCGAGAGTAGTTAGAAACTGGCTGGACGAAAATTATCCAGAAAGATGGATCGGCCGTGGAGGACCAGTCGCCTGGCCTCCACAATCCCCTGACCTAAATCCATTAGATATCTTTGTGTGGGGATTTCTAAAAGAAAAAGTGTACCAGACTCCCGTAACCACAAGAGATATGCTAATAGACAGAATCAGGAATGCATGTGATGAAATAAGGCCTTATTTGAATAATGCTATACCACGTTCGATCATTCGTAGATGTGAATTGTGTAATGAACAATTGGGTTTACATTTCGAGCAACTACTTTAGATTTTGTATGTTTGTCCTAACTATCCAATAGCATGTTAGTTGTAAATAATTAATTTAATTTCTTAAAAATAATATTGGAAAATTAAACAAATTAGTATTCTGTTTTTTGTGTTTATTTGGAGTTAGGAATTATCGCTGGGTATAAAAACAGAATCTAAAGGATCATCTTAATTACTTGTAACGCCCAAATCGAAAATGTAAAAAAAATATTATTATTAAAATTGCACTAAGAAAAAATTTTCGGTCATTTTAATACACTACAGGTACAGTAGAGAGCGCCCTCTAGCGGCTACAGTAAAACTATGCCCATGGTTCGTTTTGTCGTACCAAAAAACCCTTGTATACCAATTTTCACTGTTATACATTAAATATTGTTCGAAATATTTAAAAAAAAACTATTTTAAAAAGTAAATTTAAACACCCTGTATTTCGGAAGCCACGCATTTTTCGACCCATGTTTATATAGACTTTATGCATTAATTCTGAAAGTTCTATCGAATCTTAAAGTTATGCAACAATAAACTGAAACACCCTGTATAAAGAGATTGTTAATCTTTCAATTTGCTTCTGACTGAAAGCTTTCGAATTTTGCATACTTTTCTATTTATCTGTGTGTGTACAATATATTTGGCCATCCCAGCAAAATTGAAAGAAAACTTAAAGTGAACTGCTGGTGACATGATGACAGACGTGCTGACATCTCTGGAAACTGCGTGACAGTCGATGCGATGCGTTAAAGAATCTACTCAAGTTTCAGAATTTCAGAAATCCGCCGTGAGATACCACGAGTATCGGTAAATTTGATTTTTTGGGAGAACATAATTACTTACCAACGCACAGTCAGTTTACTGATGTCAAGTCAAGAGTTTTATACATCTGTCACAAAGTGAGTATTCTCAAGTGTTGAACTAACCGTGTTAGTTTCAAATCGGAAGTGCTCCCTGTCAAGGTTTCTTTATGATATTGCTGGAATTTCTTCCAATAAATATTAGATGTTTAAGTTTTTTTTAAATTCCGATAATAAACCGAAAAGGTGTTCTAAAATTTATATTCGGAAAAAGTTCCTCTACGATCCAAAAAGTTGCGCAAATCGGAACTTATTCCCTCGATTGGTTACACTGGCGTGGAGTGGTAGGAAAAAAGGTAGGAGGACCTTGAGCGTGAGATGCGTGGGAAGACGAGCATGAGCTTCGTCAGAAGGAGCGCGAATATCGTCAGCCCTACGAACATACGAACTTTGCTTTTAACGTTTATTTTATTTTCTCGAATTATCAGCCATAAGTTGTAAATTGACTATTTTAACAAATAAATTGATAACGCCGTGTTACTACCCACTACCCCACGTCAGCTTAGCTCGGGAACTATTTCACTGTTTTTAAATTTTTTTCGCTCCTGGTATTATGAACAGATTTAAGCAGCTCTTCACAACGACTTGTACGATGAAAAACAACAGTCCCTTACTTACTTTTTGTGTAAAAACAGACGATATCACAAAAACCACTTCATCGATATGGTTGAAAATCTAATCGGATTTGAGTGTCCCTCTAGTCATGTAAGTTGACTTGTATTGTGACTCAACTCGGCTTCCAAATCCTCGGACATTATGTAACATCCAAGAAACGCATTACCTTAGAAAAGAAAAAACAATTGAAACACCGTACTAATTGTAAATCAGTTTATTCGACTAACAGAATTCATCAGAGATGGATGTTCAGAAGGAAGTGTTCAAAGACCTGGAGGTCCAGGAACTACACAGTGGCAGGATCCAACAGCGCAATAGCCTGCAACAGCTCCATTCTTCAAGCAGGAAGTCCTGCAGCGAACATTCACGCAGGTCACATAAGACGGAATGACGTTGTCAAGGTGCTCCCCAACTTGTTCTGAAAAAATGGGTAAAATGTAATAGTTATTTTCGCATCCTTCTAGCATATGTAGACTCGCGATATAGTGAACTAATCAATGCACCGCTATATGAAATATTTCTAAAATTAAATGAACGGTTGTTACGAGGGCGATTCGGTAAATACCCGTGTTTGACGACAGAGGGCGTTGCCGAGGGAAGTTAATATCATCATCGTGTGCTGCCACCTATCAGGCGACGACCCAACAAATTTTAGGCTTATTGATAGGGTAGTTTGGATTTGGCAGCCATTCGAGTAACACGTGTTTCGTAATTTTCGCTAAGATGGAAAAAGGGCAGTATCGTTCAGTAATTTGCTGTTTGTTTTTGGATGAGAAAAAATGCGAGGACGCAGACGGTGGTTATCGAGGAAATCATTCAAAAAGTCCACGACATCATTCTTGATTCAAGATTGTCGGCCCGATGGGTGCCGCGATTGCTCACGGTGGACAACAAGCGGATGCGGCTGTTCACTTCGAAGCAGTGATTGAAGCAATTTAAGCGAAATCCGAAGTTGTCACTGTCGATAAAACCTGGATTCATCATTACACATCAGAAGCTAAGCACCAATAAAAACAATGGATTTCTCCCGGTAAATCTGCTCCAAAGAAGGCGAGGACGGCCCCATCGTCCGGAAAGGTCATGCCGATGATTTTTTGGGAGGCGAACGGCGTCATCCTCGTGGATTTTTTAGAAAAAGGAAAAACGATGACTGGACAATGCTATAGTGAGTTATTGGACGGCTTCGACAAAAAATTTAAGGAGACACGGAGTCGAAAAATAAGGTGCTGTTTCACCACGATAACGCACTAGTACATTCATCTGGAGTTGTCACCGCCAAACTGCATGAATTGCGTTATGAAGTGGCTGCCCGCATCATCCGATTCTGGCCCCTGCGACTTTTTATTGTTCCCCTGACATGAAGACCAATGGCTCGCCGGGAAAAAATGTAGCTCAAACGCGCGAAGTCAATCGCCAGCGACAGAGGCCGTACTTTGGACAGAAGTTCGACACAATCCTATTCTTTGGGAGGTTAAAAAATGCGCCAGGAACTTGAGCAAACTGTATCTTTCTAAAGGGGGGATTATGTTTGAAAAGTAAAAGAGAATCTTTTTGGAATAAAAAATGGTGTCTTCATTTCTAACACGGGTACTTATTGAACCGCCCTCGTATTAACCAATCCTCTTAAGGTAATATATACCTAGATGGTGGAAAAAATCGTCTTTTTTGCTTTCTTTTGAAGTTCGAGGTCTCCAGAATATCTGGTACATAATTTCAGCTGAGTGGAATTGATTAGGGGCCCGAGCCGACGCAGTTAACAAGCGGCCAGCAACGCGTCTACTCGTAACCTCCTTGTGACAAAGCCAGATCCGTAAAATTTAAATCTACCCATCTTGCTAATGTGAGAGGGTAAATTTTACCCACGACCTGGCTTCACTGGCTGCAGGTATATCGGAAGTACCAAGCTAGCAGTTCATGCACTGGAAGGTTTAGAATTTAAGACTGCGCAAGAATATAAAACCAACTCATTTTGCCTAAAAAACGGACTTGATAAGTTTATGCACTGGACACCCAATTGTCGTAAATCAAAAACCGCAGCATGTGATCAACTGCTTTTATACCCAGCCAAAGCAAATTTTCTTTTTTGTGTGGTGCGTTTCATAATCTATTTATATTATTCTTACAAGGGAACAATGAATAGCAAATGATCTAAAATTATTTCATAATTATTCTTTCGACCCAAAAGGAAGCATTTATAATGATAAATACTTCTCAAGAATTAGAATTATTACATTAGAGACTAGATAATAGGTTATAAAGAGTGAAAAGCCAGTACTAGTATCATATAGAGAATACAAGCAATTTTTACTTTGATTAATTGATTTACTGATTTTATGCTTAGGAGATGTACGGCACAGTGAAAAATAACTATTTTGGTAAGTAGCGTAACCAATGATATATTTTGAAATTGCAATTATAAAATAAAAATCCACTGTCTTCACAACTTAAACGCAGTTAACTTTACTGCCTTTGACCTAAGCACGGCAGTATAGGGCTAGTACTAAATTCACTGAATTCGACCAATAAACTAGTGTAAGAATAATATTACCTTTTGTCCATTTTCCACTAATGACTGATGCTTCAGCTGGCATAACACTGGCTGCAGCAACTAGAGCTACAATCAAAAGAACTAGAGCAGACTTCATTTTGTTTTCTTTGTTCGTTCGCGTTCACTTTCGTATAGTTCGAGTCGAATTCGTTGTATGACATCATTCCGAAATGCATCACATTTATAGCTATCAATTGTTTGCGAAAAGTTGTTTGTTAGGAGATATTTGATGTCATTTTCTAAATGTAATAGTCCAGGAACCCGCTACAGATTTTGGCCGTCAACAAAATGGATTCCACTTCTCAATATTTTTTCAACACAGCTTTGGCGTTTCTCCTAATGGACGAAGATGTCCAGCATTTTAGGAAAAAAATTTATTAATATAATAATATATATTTTTAGGAACTAAAATCGAGAAACAATTAAGCTAAATACGAGGCTTTTTAGCAATATTGTATAAATATTTATAAAAATTGCAATGACTAAAAATTGTGAGAATGAGGGAGAATCAGGTCATATCACAGAGACGAATTATTTAAACAACTGTTCTTGGTTGAGATATGGTCCTAGAACGTTTTACAAAAGTGAAATGAATTCTTGAGGGTTTTAACTTCAAGAATTTATTATATAAAATTATTGTTAAAAACAATGTTAAAAAATGGCTATTTTTATAGTTATAAACATTTGCACTAACCCCGTTATTTTTCAATATAATTTATTCGAACAAGTTGATCTGAATATGTGGTTAAAAAAATGCATATTTCAAAAACCTTCTACGAGCCTAGATAAATTTTTCAAATTTAAAATTAACTGATATTTTTTATATTAGTCAAATATGAATGTGAACGAATTGAAGCACATTTTCATCTTGATGGCTTTTTGCCATTGTCATATTTGGGGTTGGTGTCACTGTTTGGTGAGGCTTTTGGGCTGGAGGCTTCACTAGACCACACGTTTTTGAAAATGAGGCTGGTGAAGCAGTAACTTTTACGGGTGCTCGATATCGCGTTATGATAACATAGTTCTTTCTGTCGAAATTTAAAGCTTTGGACGTGTCCAATATCATTTGGCCCCTATGTAACGCTTCCTTTCCGCAAAAAGTCAGAAAGATAGAATGCAATGAAGATTCCAACTTTTCTGCACAATCACAGAAAGGGGGTTACCATTAGCTTCCGGTAGCTCAGTCGGTGGCATGAAGACATCTACAGGCGTGTAGCTGTGTGCCGACCATGGCATGGGCTAGAGGATAGAAGAACAAACAGAACACAAAATTTAACAGATTTTATTTAACTGAAAAGCACTTTCATTACATTTGAAATTGAAATTTTAAAGAACAAATAAATTTTAAATCTTTGGCGCTGCTATAAAACTATACACTTATATTTCGCTAAGCTGGTCCATTTTGACTGGACTGAAGCGAGGATGGCCAGGTGCTTGAAGTGGAGGTCCCAGTTATGAGGGATGACCTCACATTTAGTGGCTTCAAAACTAGATGTAGGCGAAGTTGAACTTAAAGGTGATGGCGCTGCCAAGGGACATGCATGGGTGAAGTGATAGGCCAAGCAATGCAAAGTCAAAGACAAAGGCAAAGGCAAAGTCAAAGGAAAAAGGCAAAAGTCAAAGACAAAGGGAAAGGGAAAGGGAAAGGGGGTGGCCCCAATCATTTTGTCCTATTCGGACACACATTCTACAAACCGCTAGCACATGGCGCTATATGACCTCATGCTACAGAGAACAAAATTCTTAGCTCTTGTTAGATCGGCGGCTCAAGTGAAAAGGAAGCGCGAGGAAGATCGCAGATCAGGAACTCCGCATCAAGCGCGCTCCAAGCGGAAATGTTTCCAAGTAAAAAAGCTGGAGATGGGATTAATGAGTTGCGATTCTGAAATGATAATCGAGAAGTGATTTAATAAATACAATCGGACGGTGAAACCGTTACACCTACATCTTGTGATTTAACACCATTTGATTTCTTCTTATGGGCTTATTTGAAGTCAACGGTCTATGTCAACAAGCCCACAGCCACCCATGCATTACAAGAGGAAATTAGACAGTGCTTAAACTAAATTCAGCCACCATCATGCAGAAAGGTCTTGAAAAATTTAGTCTGTGTTTTCTATTTAATGCAAAACTTGTGTTAATTTTGGGACAGTCTTTATATTTTTCAGCACATCGAAATAGATTCTGAGTTCATTAATTCCAAAATGTGATTTTTTTCTCAATAAACGTAGATAATGACACCCGTTGTTCTGCTGGCTCTCATACAATAAATTGTTTTAAGTAAAATGTTTACCGGGGGATTTACGGTGACATTTTTTAAATTTAAGCCCCTTTATGAGATAGATTTGCATAGTATTATGAATGTTTATCGTTAACAAACATAGTAAATCTTTCGTACAGATGGAAACTTTGCCAGTGGAACTTACGTGAAAATATTACACATACGTTCTGAAGAATTGTATATCTAATATTCATTAAGTTGGAAACATCACCTTGACCTGTGACAAATGCTTACAAGACAAGTAAGCAATGATGTCGACAGTTTTCTTTATAGTTGCATGTTTTCAAATTGAAACTAATGCTGTGTCGAACTTAAGATATATTGTTGAACGTATTTTCAAATTGCCCAATATCAGAAGAACTGGGAAATTTTCTTCTGATAGATTCTACTACAATTTGGGCACCCTAGGAGCATAGGAACGGTGGTACCGATCAGTTCTTGATGACATAGAGTTTTATGTTACTCCGAACTGAAGGAAACTATTATTAATTAATTATCAATATTATCTCATGAAATAAAGCATATCTAAAGCCGCGTACAGACCGAAAATCCAACGATGAGCAAACGAATGGAAGCACATATGACATTGGCATTTGTTGTTTTTAGACTAAATACTAGAGGCGCAACAAATCCTGTCCAGACCAAATCAAACCTCCGGTTGATGGCTAGCGTTAGAATCTCGGTCTGTACGCGGCTTTTCTCGCAAATAACTTCGGCAAAGATGAACACAACTCCGTATTTCATAATAACCAAACTACTTCGGGAAACTTAAGTTCTACCACAGGTATCCCTAAGACAGTAACAACGGCGGATCCAGGATTTGTGTCTGGGGGGGGGTCAAAAAGCATGTTCTTCTCATCGGGGGATAGGGGGGTTGATATCAGTGCCACTGACATAAAAATTAAAAACTTGACTGGCGGACGGATGGCAGATGACAACCCTACCCTTATACCCTTAGGGTACAGCCTAAAAGTGAATACTTACCATCTCCTTTCAATCCAGTGTAACAACTTTTTTGTGGTTTTGTCCGTCACAGTGGCGGATTTAAGTAATGGCAAAATGGTCATTGCCGCCAGGGCCCCGCCCAGCAAAAACCAGCTCTAATGTTTAAGCGCGTCTGAATGTAAAATTGATAACAAGAAATCAGAATGTTGTTATATTCTTTTAATGACCGTCTGCATAATGTTTATGAAACAGCGCGTTAGCATTCAGTCTGAATAAGAAAATTTCCCTTTCATTTCTTAAGAATTTTTTCTAACCGAATTACCCATTTATTTCTCAAGGAGTAAAGGGGTTATTTTTTCATTTTGTGCTTACAGTGATATATTATTACCTATGATGTTCAGTAAATAAATATCTTCGTGGTATGAATCAGCCTCTTTCAGTCTAATTAATACTCTAATGCGTCTATTACAGTCTTTTCACGTCTTCAATGCTTATAACCATAAACTTTCACGATACTGTGCATTTTTTTTATTTGATGACATATCTATTTTCTTCGTGATGATATCGTGGGAGAAGTTTTTTAAATGTATTGTCAATTGCATAGAAGATGAAATTTCAAGAGTAGGAGCTTCTGGCGAATATATATATATATATATATATATATATATATATATATATATATATAATATATATTATTGAATGGCATCGATGAAAAAGTTGATTTCCTTACAAGGAACATCGGGGCTACATATCACCTCCACCTCATCAAGCTTCTCTTTTTTGTAGATCTTTCTCATCAACATTTACAGGCTTTTCAATCAAATTCCTAATGACTTTAAAATTCTGCATCCAAACCAGTTTAAAATCAAATATAAAAAAATTATTTTTGAAAAATAATTCAGAGCACATTAATGTAAAATGAGGCACAAGAGACTAAACTAATGGAAAGAAAATTTTTTTTGTATTATAACTCACATCTATAACGTAGATCTTTCTATATATATAGAGAGAGAGAGAGAGAATATGATCATGCGGAGAAAAGTATATAACAACAAGTAGGAATATAATGGGCAAAATCCGCAAAAAGGATGATCATATTCTCTTTGTAGATCCTTTGGGCTTGAAGTACTAAGCAAGTGGCTATAACCGGCCGCGTGGTGGTGTTTAGACGTCTCCTTGAAAATTCAAGGCCGTATAGCCATTTTATACTACAATGTGTAGGTTAGCTCTTCTTGTGGACTTCGTGTGTGGTTTTTTTCTCCCCTTTCAACTTCGTTTCCTCAGGTTACACCCGTATCCGGATGTGTGGATGTGTGAGCATATGTATCTACTTTTGTAGTTTCATATGTGCATTCATTTCGGGCCTGATGAAGCCAACCAGCAGAAATACGTATCGCTCGGGTTATCTATCCTATTTTCTGCTCGAATCCACTTTCCTCCTTTTTGCGGATTTTGCCGATTATTTTCCTACTTGTTGTTCCTTTCTCCGCATGATCATATTCTCTTTGTAGATCCTTTGGGCTTGAAGTACTAAGCAAGTGGCTATAACCGGCCGCGTGGTGGTGGTTAGACGTCTCCTTGAAAATTCGAGGTCGTATAGCCATTTTATACTACAATGTGTAGGTTGGCTCTTGTTGTGGACTTCGAGTGTCACCCGTATCCGGATGTGTGGACATGTGTATCTACTTTTGTAGTTTCATATATGCATTCATTTCGGGCCTGATGAAGCCAACCAGCAGAAATACGTATTGCTCGGGTTACCTATCCTATTTTCTGCTCGAATCCACTTTCCTCCTTTTTGCGGATTTTGCCCATTTTTTTTATATATATATATATATATACAGGGTGGCGCATTGAAAACGAAACAGACGCATTTACTGGCAGCTCAGTTTTTTTATAATGATGTAAAATACATGACCTTCAGTTCAGTAGTTTTAAAGATTTATTGATTTAAAGCTTAACGTAGACTTTAATAGGTAGATCAGATTGGTTTGTACTACCTTCAGAAGAAATTTGACTAAAAGAATTTACTTAATAAGTAAATGATTTTCTTCACTACGCCCATGGTTTGTTTATCATTTTGTTGTTGAAAATGGCTATTGGAGCGTTTTTTTGTGACAAAAAAGTTATTTCTTGAAGAAAGAAAGGGAAAGGAAATATCTTGTACTTATTTTAAATAGGAATTTAGTACATAGTTTGCGATTGATTTGACCAAAATTTGTTGCTAAAATAACTTGTAACGCTTTATTACATAAATTAACGATGGTATATTCCACAGCAGAAAGAGTTGAAATTAACGAAATATTTTTCGGAAATAATCAGTGCGCTAATAGAACAGCAGAAATATTTAATGAGCGACATGAAAACAGTAACGTGCATCGAAAATATGTAGAACTTGTAGCTAAATTTCAGGAAACTGGGTCAGTCGCCAATCGAAACGCAACATTGAAAATCCCATATGGAACGAAGCAATAGAAGTGGGAGTTTTAGAGCAAGTGAACGAATTATGAACGATGAACATTTTCTATTCAACACTTGCTTTTCCGACGAATGTTCCTTTTTCTTAAATGGCGTAATAAATCGTCATAACTGCCGATATTGGTCCGATTCTAATCCCAGAATTTATCAAGAGGTTCATACACAACAGCCACAAAAATTAAATGTTTGGGCTGATATTTTTGGCGATCATTTAGTTGGTCCTTTTTTCCTATGCGGAAATTTGACCGGTGAAATGTATTTGGAATTACTGGAAGACGCCATAGATCCTGCATTAACAGCCATAATTGAAAATCAGAATGATCGGCGGTACATTGCGAATAGGTTGATGTTCCAACAGGATGGTGCCCCACCAGATTACGCATTACGTGTTCGACAATATTTAGATCAGATGTTTCCAGATCGATGGATTGGTAGAAGAGGTGCCATTGAATGGCCCCCAAGATCGCCAGATTTATCACCTTTGGATTTCTTTATGTGGGGTCATTTAAAAACCATTAAGAGTCATGGTGGCCATTTTCAACATTTACTTGCCTAACGGGTCAGTTCATTCTTCATTTTTAAATTACTTTGCTGCCAAATGTATTGATCTCCATTAATGATGGTCTATTAGTTTTATTTAAGCTTTAAATCAATAAATCTTCAAAACTACTGAACTGAAGTTCATTAATTTTATATCGTTCTAAAGGGAATTGAAAGACCTTTAAAATAAGGTATCACTCGACCCCCCTTTCCATTTAAGATTTTGGGGGTGGTGTCACCCCCGCTTAGGAGGCTGCACGTACTAACGTGATTTTTTGCCAGACTTGTGTCCCCCTCGAAAGCAAAACCGACGGGTAAGAGCGTTTTTCAAAAAAAATGAGCTGCCAGTAAATGCGTCTGTTTCGTTTCCGATGCGCCACCCTTTATATGTGTGTGCGTATGTATGTACGAGTATGTATATGTGTATATATGAATGTGTAATAGGTAAAGGGCTGAACTTGTATCATGTTTGAATGCCTTCAGCCCTTTTTTGTAACATATCTCATTTAAATGTATTTTGCTACTATTTTTACCTAACTGTATGTTGCAAATAAACATTATTATTATTTACAATTGTTATTGCAATAGCATTTATTCAATATTGCTAAAAAGCCCCGTTTTTAGCTTAATTGTTTATCGATTTTAATTCTTAAAAAATAAATTTGGTCTTTGGTCTTTTTATGCTCCATAGTATCCAGCTTACCGATTATTTATACAATTTAATTTAAAAATTACGAATTTCAAGCAAAATACTGCATTTTGAGCTTTTCCATTTGTTCATAAAAGAGCCAGGCATGGCTGTATCTTTTTATGTGTTTGTCATTACAAACACCTCCCTTTCATTTAAGACTTTCAGATATCTTAACTTTTTTACCCGAAATAACGTACATACTTTTTCTCTATAGCCTGGGCTAGTAGGTGTGGAACTAAAAATAAAAAAATAATTGAAACACAGTACTAATTATAAATCAGTTTATTCGACTAACAAAACTCATCAATGATGGATGTTCAGAAGAAAGTGTTCAAAGACCTGGAGGTCCAGGAACTACACAGTGGCAGGAACCAGCTGCGCAATAGCCTGCAACAGCTCCGTTCTTCCAGCAGGATGTCCTGCAGCGAACATTCACGCAGGTTACATAAGACGGAATGACGTTGTCAAGGTGCTCCCCTACTTGTTCTGAAAAATGGATAGAATAAGATGGTTATTTTCTCGTCCCTCTAGCATATGTAATACAGTGGATCCGCGATATAGTACCGTTACACCTTTCTTTAATTCTTCTAATATCTTGATCTTGATGTAATGATCAAACGGTTCTAAATAGCTCTGTTAGTAACAAACAAAAATATTTTCTATTATGTGCTTTATGTTTTCACCTCTGTGGCTTTTTTTCAAAGTACAGATGAAAAAGCAACAGTGACAATAAAAAATTCATATCATTGGATAAGGTCTTTTTTAGAGAATCCCTTTGTGGGTATCGTCGATAGTGGACTGAATGTGCATATTACGTCCTTGAGGCCGACACGGCTCACATCACCAGAGGCGTCCCTCGAGGCTCTATTCTAGGACCTGTAATATTCAGTCTATATCTAAATGACCTTGAGTACTGTTCTTATGAAGGTAGATTCATTTTATATGCAGATTATACTTCAGTGGTGACATCGAATAAGTGTGAGGCTAGCTAAGAAGGAGATTGTGGAGTTTTACTGCAAAATATTCATAAGTGGTTTAGCAGCAATCAACTCTACTTAAATTATGAAAAAACATCAGCTGTCCAATTTCATAACATGGCATCAAATATCACTTTTAATAACTCAGTAATATCTCTTGACATGCAAATAAAATTCTTGAGCTTGTATCTAGATACAGGTTTAAATTTTAAAGGTCACTGTGTACTCGTATATATTGCGTCAAAGATAAACTTCCAATCATATCTTATGAAGAATTTGCGAACGGTGCTTACTGCAGCACAGATAGTTTCTGTCTACTATGCTCAAGTTGAGACACGGCTAAGGTATACACTGTGATTCTGGGGTTTATCCACAAATGTCCAGTAAGTATTTTTGTCCCAGAAAAGAGTAGTATTATGTATGATCGTAGTCAGTGTATTTTTGTAAGAATATTTTAAGCGTCTCATGATTTTAACTTTACCATCACTATTTTTAAGCGAAATGGCCGTGTATTCTCAAAAATAGATTTTTGGGTAATTTTAACTGGCTCTAGACTTAAATGTGTGTCTTGCCAAGTATAAGATCGGCGTCAGATGGTAATGTCTCTCAGGATAATAAAGGATTTTAACTTGATTATATTTTATATTTATCTAACAATAACCTAAAAGGAGCTGCGTCAGCCCCAAATCATGCGAAGTCAATCAATTTTAAAATGGCACCGTGCAAACCCAGAACAGTCCAGAATCTCTTAGGATAGGCATTCACGGACCCAAAGACATCCTGCTCCTCCAAATCCACATGCGAGCATAAGGTTATCTGTTGTTTTGGATGAACCAGACACGTCGCCCTCGCTCATCGGCTCAAAAACGCCAAACGACCTCTTGAACGCCGAAAATCAAGGGCTAAATCGGTTGGAAGGTTTTATACAGCGGACAGCCGAAATGCCGTCCCACAGCCAAAATACAGCCACGGACAGTTACGCGGACAGTCATGGACAGCCAAAAACACTTGCCACCATCTTGGAAATCGGAAATTACTCCATATTTTGAAAATTATTGATTCTAGCGGATAAGTTGGAAACAGCAAACTTGTAAATAAATGAATTATGTAATTCTTGTTTTATTGAGAAATGTCAGTAGATTGAGATATTTTTTGGTATATATTAAAATAGCATCACAAATAACTGATACACAACTGATAGAAATTTTTTAATGAGAAATTTCATTTCAATTACTAAATAACTATACATAATGCTTTTTTAGATTCTGTATCCACAAACATTTGTAATTACACATTTTTTCAAAGGTTATCGCATTGTTGAGTTGGGCACTCGGTAGATTTTTTCCGATACAACTTTGCCTTAGATGCAAAAATTACAGATAAGCATCAAAGGTATCCTCTATCCAGGAAGCATGGTCTATCGACATAAGACAGTGCAAAGTGCCATCTATCACTATCACACTTGTTGAAACTCAGTCACTTTGTGACCGCTAGATGGCTGACGATTCTGGCTGTATAGTAGATGGCGACTACTTGCCATTGAAAAAAGTATATATTTTATAAGGAATATCTTATACATATACCAGATTTCACCTCTGATTTTTCCTTTCGTAAAGAACTTATGAACCAGATAAGCACATCAATAGAAAAACTTTTTATTTGTACAGATATAGACCTGGTACTAAAATCACTAAACTGAACCAATGAATAACTGTAAAAATAATATTACCTTTTGTCCATTTTGCGCCAAACAGTGACGACTCAGCGGGCATAACACTGGCTGCAGCAACTAGAGCTACAATCAAAAGAACTAGAGCAGACTTCATTTTGTTTTATTTGTTCGTTCGCGTTCACTTTCGTATAGTTCGAGTCGAATTCGTTGTATGACATCATTCCAAAACGCATCACATTTATAGCTATCAATTGTTTGCGAAAAGTTATTTGTTAGGAGATATTTGGTGTCATTTTTCGAATGAAATAGCCCAAGGGCCCGCTATAGCTTGTGACCGTCCACAAAATGGATCTTAAAATTTACTCAACATTGCTTTGGTATTACTCCTGATATACGAAGATATCCAGGTTCTTAGGGAAGGCATGTATTAATAGACGGAATTTTTAACCGATTTTTTTGGCAGGGAAAAGCTTTTATTTATCGCGACTCTCGGCAGAAAAGCTCGACAGCACTGTCTGGTCGGCCTGTTCTGACCGAAGTGTGAGATTCTCCAGAATGCAGTTACTCTGATCTATGGCTAAACTTTTTGAGCTACAAACGTGTCCAGGGTGGTTTTCTTTAAGATATAAGGATCATCACATACCTGTAGAAGATACCGGACTCTTATGGTTGCAGTGCTGTGAAAATCGCTCGGGCAAAATCATTTTTCTTCAAGGTAAATGCTATTAGATAATAAACGATTGACGGTTTGAATATGCCTCCTACAAATTTTAAATCCTGCTGGAAACCCATTTGCACCTTAGTTTATACAGGGTGCGGCAGAGAGGACGGACGTTTTTGGGATGGGTAGTACTCTCCGCCTCCGTCTACGAGAGAGGTGGGGAGGGTGCCGTTTGACTCGTGAGATCCTAGCATTATTTTACCAGTTGTCGTTATGGAGCCTTGGACGGTGGAGCACCGGGTTTTCGCCTATGATTGTTTCGTCCGAAATAATAAGTCAGTCATCGTCGTACAGCGTGAGCTTCGTCGCCACTTCAACATTCATCGGAATAGAGCTGTTCCCTCTCGAAACACCATCTTTCGTTGGGTTGAATCACTTCGCAGGCGTGGTGAACTGATCAACAGAAGACCAAGAGGAGCGCCGCGAACAGTTCGAACTCCTGAAAATGTTGAACGCGTTCGACAGGTCTTTCTTCGCAGTCCGACTCGATCTGCCCGGAAACATGCTGCTGCACTTCGCCTTAGTGATCGTTCGGTAATGCGAATTTTGCATATGGATCTCCGCGAAATTCGCGTGGAAGTCGCTCAAGTTGAGAGAGCGATGTTGGAGAGAGTCTACGCGAACTTCCAAGAACGCATCCAGCATTGCATCAACGATTTCGGCCACCACATGCCTGATGTGATTTTCCACACTTGACTGTCTCAAATGCTATTTCCTTGTGAACCTGATTCCATCAATAAATTTGTTTTCGAGTAAAAATTAACTATTTTGTGATTTTTTTAAAACCGTCCATCCTCTCTGCCGCACCCTGTACCATGGCTCCAAATACCACTAAGATTTGAAAAAATGGTATAATAACGAGGAGAATCAGATCACCAAACTTAACGTCGCATGCCCCTTTTTTCTTTTTTCAGCAGCCTATCTGAATGAGTATTCTTGATGCTTTTCATTTGATTTTTTCGTCCTTTTTTTTGTCAAAAAACCATTTTTGTGCATTTTCTTAAACGTAACTTGTTAAAAAATAATAGTACAGCATAACACAATTTGCTGTAGAATGAGGTTTCAAAAAAATCAAACATTTTTCGAAGGGAAAAGAGATAAGGATAAGACTAATTACCCACTCAATTCAAGCATAAAAATAGAATTTTTAACAAGTTACTATTGAAGAAAGAATACACAATAAAACGATCAAAAAATTCATTTTGAAATTGATAACATTGTATTTTAGTCATCTCTATGAAATAATTAGATGAAAATGATTTGGAATACCGCTCCAAACAGGCAGTCGAAAAGGAAGGGACATGCGTCTTTAAACGTCACTCACATTACTTATATTATGAAACTGGGAAAAGAGGGAGATGAAACTCTTACGTTCAATCCCCTAAGTTGTAAATTTCATTTTCAGAGGATAATCGAGCAAACAGCTTTCCCGAAACTTTTGAGAGACTAGAGAGAATAGAGAATAGCATCTCTGAAATCTAGGTAAAAGATTTAAAGAGAACAAAGAGTACCAACCCCAAAATCTAACCCCCTCGCGCCATTGAGAGCAATAATTCCAATAAGCGATTTCGTTGAAAAAGGTATAATATTGATCCAAGTATTTGGTAATTTCTACTGAGAAGCTTCAAGGAAGCTTTAAATTGCACGCTGTGGCAGCGATGAATTACTTTAACGTTTTCTAAACTTTCTCAACCCTAAATCGTTGGACTATAACTCCAAACTATGATTTTGTTGAAAAGATGGATACGACCTTTCTCCACCATGTCTCAATAAACGTAGATGCATGACGCCCGTTTTTTTTTTCAGCTGGCTCTCATACCATTAATTGTTTGTAGTAGAATGTTTGCTGGGGATCTGCGATGACATTTTTCACAATTAAGCCCCCTTGTGAGATAGATTTGCATAGTATTATGAATGATAACAAACATAGTAAATCTTTCATACAAATGGAAATTTAACCAGTGGAACTTACGTGAAAATATTGCACAATACGTTCTGGAGAATTGTATAATGTTCGTTAAGTTTGGAAACAGCAACTTGGTCTGGGAAAAATTTTACAAGACAAGTACATGCAATGATGTCGACAGTATTCTCTATAGTGACATGTTTTCAAATTGCAGCTAAGCTATGTTGTTGAACCTGTTTTCAAAGTGCTCACTATTAGTAGAACTAGGAATATCTCTTTAGGTAGATTTGGGCACCCTAGCAATAAACAAACGGTGGTACCGGTTAGTTCTTCTAGTCTGGTTCGCCAGAACTCTAAGAAAGCTAGGTCACCAACTCTCTTCGAACTCATCAGAGATGAAAACTGCGTCTAGGTTTCATGCACAGTGAGGAGCAAAAAGGACAACTATCACTCCATTGCATTTGCTTATTTTGGATGACAGGGGGGTAGGGGAGTCTAGATGATTACGTCATCGGTAATTATTTACTTTTTTACACGAATGGCAACCCTCACATTTTCGGGGATTCCCGCAAATAATGCATACGTTTAGTGAACAGCGCGCGGTAATTCCCCTACTCGCTTTCGAACCGAGTAGGGGAATTACCGCGTGTTTTGGATACTATAGCGAGTAGACGTATTGTAAGCATAGTAAATCAAGTTAACATTTGTGTTACCATTGATTCCATTAGCCAAAGTTTAATGTTTAAATAAGATGTCGTTTCACATAGACAAAAATTGTTTGAAAGTTTTAAAAAATCTCATACAGGTACGAAAGTACAAAATGTACAAAAGTTAGTTAACGAAGTGTGGCGAAATTATAAATTACAAGCAAAATCCGACAAGGAACTAGATATTATTGTATCTAAGAGAATCGAGAAGAATTACAAGTGGCGACGAAGAATAAATCCAATCTACTAAATTTTTTTTCTAAGGTGAGTGACGAAATCATTTTAGGTACCTATGAGTACTAGAAATATTAGAAATCTCCAAAAAGTTTCTCTTTACTGATTAGAAAATATTATGGCCTATCTCAAAGTATAGAGGTAATATTCATTGTATTATAGATTTATTTCTTATGATTGATTCCGTCAATTGGTCACAAAGTACAGGATGTTAGTTTTATACATATATACAGAAAACTAACACCCTGTATTTTGTGACCGGAACGAATTGCTCGTTTAAACATATTAGATTTAAAGCCATAGGGTTTTATATTTACCATATATATTGCCATACTTTGTATTTATGTAGCTTAATAAGAGAATCTTTAGCAGAAGCCATAGAAAGTTTTTATTTTTAGGCAACCTGTAATCCTGCAGAAAAAACACAAATTATACAGTCAGCTTCAAATATTAAAAAAGAGGAAGAAGATAAAATAAAACCCGCTAATGAATCACAACAGCAATGCGAAATTAATGAAAATACAGATAAACAGAGAGCAAAACCTTCTCAGGAAGCTATCAAAAATACGATTGCTCTACTCGAAAAAAATCTGAATGATTTGTATTCTGCCAGAGATACTATGCTGAAGTTGATAAACAGATCATTAAGTTGCGCGAGGAAATAAAAACAGCAAAACAGTCTTTAAACAGGAAGGTTCAAAACGCAGTTGCCCAGAAGAAACACAGGGATGTTATGAAAAGAAAGTTAGAAGATATTTGTCACGAAAATCCAGAAATAAAAAAAAGACTATCTACGAGGGATTCAGTGGGACGTCCTAATCTTGAAAGCAATCAACATTCACTATTGAAAACAATCGCGGATATAGCTTTATTTGGGAGTGCACAAGAGCCACTTAGATAGCAAGTTGCCATCTTTAATTTTTGCCTCATTAAGTCTCGGAAATGTTTGTTTTAAATGCAGAAGCCCTCTTCCATTTCGATCCATAGCTTTCACAAAATGTTTCATCAGTCCCAATTTAATACGCAAAGTGGGATCAACTAGTAGTTCATGAGCAATGTTTTTGAGGCCCGGAGTCAATACCTGACGTAGTGGCAACACCTTCTGTTCATAATGACGATTTCGCGCACGACTGTCCCATTCACAAAGAAAACGACAATATTTGGTATATCCCAGTTGCATTCCAAGAAGAATGGCTATTACCTTTAAATCTGCACGTATGGCCCATCCACGGATATGCTCTAACAGATGATATAATTCCTTCATATGAACTGCGTGCGCTATAGGTAGAGAAGGATATTTATTACCGTTGTGTACCAATACCGCTTTTAAACTAAGCTTAGAGGAATCAGTGAACAGGCGCCAATCATTTGGATCATGTTTCTGTCCTAATGCGTCAAACAAATTGTTGACATCGGAGCAATATAGCAACTCCCTTTCTTGACGGAAACAGTGTGTGAGGTCTTGTTGCCGTTTTCGGTAAAAAGTAATGTTATTATTAATATTATATTAATCACCGTGGAGAAGATTCCATCCTTTTAATCTTGACGCTAAAAGTTCTGACTTTGATTTTTACAGATTTAATCCTCGAACTAAGACATTAAGTTCATCCTGTGCGGCGCTGTTGAACATCCTGGCAGGCCACACGAAGGATCGGAAATTTTTACGCTTTCTGTACCATCGCTTTCAGAATCGGTAG